TGGTAGACTGGTGTAAAGAATTCAAATTACTGTTAAATACTGATAAATGTTTCATTATGACCTATATAAAAAAATTAAATCCAGTTTGCTTTTCGTATCTTATAAACGATAAATCTATTAAAAAAATACAGTTAGTAAAAGATCTGGGTATCACATTTATCGTTTACTCAACATATGCATAATATATGTCTATCTTCTTCAAAAATGCTTGGCTTTACATTTCGACTTACAAAAGATTTCACTGACCCACAACTAATGAAAATGTTATACTTCTCATTTGTTCGAAGTAAACTAGAGTATGGGTCTATTATCTGGTATCCGTATTAAGAATCACATAGGCTTGCCATAGAAAAAGTTCAACGTCGTTTTTTAAAATGTTTATCGTTTAGAATAGATGGAATCTATCCAATTAGGGGATTGGAATATAATTTGTTATTAGCACGACACCAAATTCATAGCTTGAGTAGCAGAAGACAATTGTACAGTGCTATTTTTTTATGGAATTTAATCCAGGGAAAAATTGACTGTCCTATTTTATTGGCCAATGTTAATTTTCACGTACCACGTATCGTCTCACGTCATGCATCTTCATTTCTGCCTTCAATACCAAGAACAAATCAACTACGTAAAGCCCCACTGGAACATATGTATCAGAATGTGAAAAAATTTTATGATGATGTATTTTTTTGTAAAATAAGTCAGCTGCGTTAAATTGTTGTTTTTATTATTTTTATTATTAATGTTAATTTAATTATACACGTATTGCATGGTAGGCATAGTGTGTTGGTTTTGATCCTTACGATCCTTAACTTGTTAGTTATTTTATTTAATTTTTTATTTTTATTTATTATTGATTTATATTGTCCTGTAATAGGGTTATCTGTTGGGCAATAAAGGTTATTATTATTATTATTATTATTATTATAAGACAGCTACCCTCAAAACCGGCGAAGAGGTTCCGCGGATGGTGGATTCACGGTTGAATTCCATGTTGTAACCCTAGATAACAGATGGGTGGTACCGTACAATCCACTTTTATCTTGAACTTTTGCTGCTCACATCAACATAGAGTATTGTAACTCTGTAAAATCTATTAAATGTATGCAAATATGTTCATAAAGGATCTAACCAGGATTATTTGGTCTTGAAAATGACAATGATGAGGTCAAATTATATGAAAGTGGTCGATATATTAGCAGCTTTGAAACTGTTTGGAGAATCCTGACCCTTTCCTATACATGAACAATTTCCAGCGGTTTTTCATCTCACAGTGCACTTGAAAAATGGCCTGCTGTCTATTTTAATCTTAACGACTTTAATAATGTAACTGAAAAGGTAAATAATTCACAGAAAACTACTTTTCTAGCATTTTTGAGCTTTGCAAAACGAATAATTTTGCAAAAATCCTTTTTTATGTTGAAGTCCCTTCATACTATGTGTGGAAAAGTACCAAATTTGAGAGACAAAAACGTGGAAAAAATGTTGATGGTTGGCCGGGAGTCAAAAGAGATCAAACTGCCCAGGAGTGTACACCGTTCACCCTAATAACGCCGAATGTTTCTACCTTGGTCTTCTTCTTCAAGAAATGAGAGGGCCAACATCATTCTCGGATTTAAAAACTGTTGATGGTGTCGCTTATGCCACATACCAGTCATCATGCAAAGCTTTGGATTTGTCAAGTTCAGTCAGAGTGTCAAGAGAGTGTTCATATTATAAATGAAATGTACAACAAGTGTGTGATTTCCTTTAAAGACACGGTGCTGTCTTTAGGAAGACAATGTTTAACGTATTATGGTTCGCCTCAGCCTGTAAAACGTGAAGAAGTCATACAAAACAGAGATTATCTCAGAGTGATTAGCTATGACATACTTTTATAGGGAAAACGAAAGTTTATTAAATACAGAACAATATCAAATTTACAAGCAAGTTTTAGATAGGTCAGGTAAATGTTTGTTTTTACATGGCTGCCTACAATATTAGCGACAAAACTATCCCAATATTTTAACTTTTTTAAAGAAATATCCTTTAATTTAAAACCTGACTTTTAATCAAATCGACAAAAGATAACCCAAATTACAAAATTCACGGGACAAACTTTCAGTCCTTATTTCACCCACTTAGGGGTAATTGATGCTTACATTACGAAAGGAACCTTCTGAACGACGCAAGCGGAGCTGCGGGTAACAGCTAGTCCTGTATATGTATGTTGTTTTAGATTCAAAGTGATAAAAAATATAACGTGACGCAACATGTCAGAACGGCTCTTCATGTAGAAAGGAAGAAAATGTTTGAAGTTTCTAAAATTAAACAGCAGACCATACATGAATCTGTTGCATCTACTTCCACAAAAGATGAGCAGTTTCAGTTTAATTTCGATTTATGTAAAATGATGATCCAGTCCAATATACTTTTAAAAAAATTGGAGAAAGGCCCTCTTCAAGAATTCCTTGAAAAACACTGCAATCGACATATTCCGGTTGAAAGTACTCTCCGAAAAAATTATGTAGGCCCAGTGTTTCAGCAAGTTTACAACGAAATTAAACATCGCATTGGAGATAATTATTATTTATGGTTCGCTGTCGATGAAACAACCGATAGTTGTGGAAGACACGTGGCAAGTTTCATTGTTGGAATCTTAAATGAAAATTTCCCTAGTCGAGGGTATGTAGTAAGTTTGAAAATGTTAGATAAAACAAATGCCAATACGATTACCAGATTTGTAAATGACAGTCTTACATCACTATTTTTGCCAAATGCCGTACCGGCGAATAAAATTTTATTGATGATCTCGGATGCTGAAAGCAGGGAATAATCTAAAAATATTGTACCCCAATTTAATTCACTCTACTTGCACTGCCCAAGGTTCAAACAGAGTGGCTGAAGGAATACGTTTGCAGTTTCCTACTGTTAATAAATTAGTGGCAAATGGTAATAAGATTTTTGTTAAAGCCCCACTAAGAGTGCAACATTTTAAGGAAAAATTTCCAAACATACCATTGCCCCCAGAGCCGATTATAACGAAGTGGGGAACATGATTACAGGCCACATTTTATTATGACAAATATATCAAAGAATTTGAGGAAGTAGTTACGGAGTTTAGCGAAGATTCTTCTCAATCGATTAAAGATTGCATAAATATTTTGGAAAACAAAGATTTGCGACAAGATCTAGCTTTTCTAAGAAGCAAGTATCAATTCGTATGTGAGGTAATAGACAAGTTAGAAAAACCCAACATGTTGTTGGTAGATGCCATAAAATTAGTGAAAGAATTTAAACAACAAGCAACGCAGTAAGGGGTGATATTGGTACTAGAGTATCTCAAAAACTTGACGAAGTGTTAAATAAAAATGCAGGTTTCGGTGTTCTTTCCGACGTTGCTCGTGTTTTACAAGGCCAGAAGGTGGAAAATTTGGAGTCAGATTAGTTGCAAAATTCAAATTTGCGCCAACAACGAGTGTGGATGTTGAACGCACATTCTCCAATTTTAAACACATTTTAAATGATCGGCGAAAAAAGTTTACAGTGGACAACTTGGAACATATTACAATCATAAATTGTTTTAAAGAAAACTGAAATACGTGTGTAAAATATAAAGTCTAGGATTATTGTAATAATATTTTATCCAAAGTTCTAAGAAGTGTTCTTTGATTTGTAATATGATTATGTTTTTAATGCTTTTTTGCTCAAAATAAAACTTTTTTATTGAAAATGTTGTGCTTATTTAAGCACTTATTTTTAATTTTTTTGTGCTTATAAATCCGCTCTCTACTTATTACAATCAAAGTTTTCCCATTGTTAAAAAACGTAAACAAAGCGCCAATAAGCATTGCTGGGTAGATGAAGAGTTGTCACATATAAAAAACACAGTCTCTTTTTTGGCAGATTGTTGTTGTATATTTACATCATTCAAACCTGTTTACAATGAATACAAAAAATATTACCCGAAGCTTTCATTACAAAAAAAAAAACTTCTTAATGACCAGCTCATGAACAGTTCCAAAAACAAATCAAAAACTATGTGGAATATAATTAACACTAATATAGAAAATTAAAATGACTTAAGAATTTACAAAAATTGTCACTGATAATGATGAAACGATAAAAGATCCTCAACTAGCGGCTGAAATTTTTAATAACTATTTTATATCGATACGAAGCAATGTAAATATTTCGAACGACTATCCATTAAAAATCCGAAGAATACCTGAATCCCTTTTATTATTGCCTATCACAGAAGCCGAAGTTGAGTCAGCAATTCGAAGTTTAAAGCCGAAATATTCGTCCGGATATGATCAAATTTCAAATAAATTTTATTGTAGATCCACTAAAATATATAATAAATAGGTCATTTGAACAAGGTATTTTTCTAACCAAATTAAAAATCTCTATCATTAAGCCCCTTTATAAAAAAGGCTGCCATGTTTCAATGGAAAGTTATAGACCAATTAGTTTCATCAGTTCTTTTTCGAAAATTTTTGAGAAAATTATCTATGAGAGGCTTATATCTTTCTTTAGTGCAAAAATATTGTGTCAAATAGTCAGCACGGGATTAGAACAAAGCTTTCTATTATCACAGCAATCTTTCAATTTTATAACAAATGTATACGACATTATTGACACAAGTAATGTTGGTTTGGGTGTTTTTTTAGATTTGTCAAAAGCTTTTGATAATGTCAACCATAAACTGTTATTAAAAAAATTGGAAAACTACGGTGTAAGAGGTAACGTACACAACTTACTTGATTCGTATTTAAGAGATATAATACAAAAAGTTGATATTTCAAAAAACGGACATGAATACTTATCTAATGAAAAAAAGATTGCTTATGGTGTTCCGCAGGGAAGTATACTTGGTCCGTTATTATTTCTCGTATACATCAATGACCTATCGTATATCATGTTTTTAATGCTTTTTTGCTTAAAATAAAACTTTTTTATTGAAAATGTTGTGCTTATTTAAGCGCATATTATTAATTTTTTTGTGCTTATAAATCCGCTCTCTATCCATCACTGTTTTGGACATTAATGTCGATGCCTCCGTTGATTAGTAGGTCTAATATACCTGGATTGTTGTTGGTGGTACACATCGCGTAGTGGAGAGCATTCTCTTTTTCCATATCTAAGCTATCAACTTCTGCTCCTTTTGAAAGTAATGTTTGGGCAACTACGATATTACCGTGTTGGCAGGCCAGGTGTAGGGGTGTTGTTTTGGTGTTATCCTTGCTGTTAACGCTCAAACCATTAGGTATTAGGAATAGTGTTAAATTTATATCTCTATTTTGTTGAGATGCGGCAAAGTGCAAAACGTTTTCTCCATCATTGTTCAAAAGTCCAAGCTCTCCTCTATTTTGAAGTAATAGATTCAGAATATTTAAATTACCAGCTCCACATGCAAGATGTATTGCTGTAGTCCCATTATTATCTTTAGCGTTGACATCTAAACCATTTTGTGTTAGTAAATGTATGATATCTTCATTTGGTTTTTCTGTTGATAGAGCACAATACAAAGCTTTTCTGTATTCCCTATCTACCCTCTCACCCATAAGGATCTTTGACTTCTTGGACTTGTAACCTGATGACTGCTTCTTCAGGAATACAATAAGTTTTCCGGACTACATTAATTTTTCATATTAAATCACAATCAAGATAAAAGTAGGTACACATCTGTTAATATCCATTTTTTCCTCCAATATAATAACGGCCTCTAACAATGAATAATAGCTCCACAAATTTGAAGGTTACGGACAAATAGGCGAGAATTATTTCCTCCCGCCTTTTTCTCACTTCTCCAGCTGCAAGACTTCGTGTACTCTCTTATGAAAGAGTATGAACAACTTTCTTGATTTTTCTGGAAGTAAATTGTTGGTCGCCGTTTCAGCAACATCGTTCGGAACAAACATATCTACTTCTCAAACTGCTTCCAAGTCAAATAAACACCGTTGCTATCAAAATGAACGAATCTGTCTCTGAGGTCCAGTTCTTCTCAAATGCTTTCAATTTATATCAAATTATTTACGAAATGAAGAGTAGGACCGCATGCCGTCGGTGTTGAAAAAATAGTATGTGCAGGTATATAATCAGGGATATTAAATAATTCGGCATCGCCTCGTGCTTTAAACCTTCCCTCAAGGGAATAAAAAAGTAGTTTAATCCGTAGGTGCATAATACATTATAATATGTAGACAAATTTTACACAACTAATCTCGTATAATTGTAATTTATTGTTGTACCCCACCCTTATTTTTAAATTTAGGTGTGTAGGTTTTTGTAAAAAGTAGTATACCGAATTTTCAATATTTTTGATAACCAATTGATTTAAATATTATCTAAACATAGCAATTTTAACGCAAATATGGTAATTTGTTAATTAGGCATCTCATAAGAATTTAGTTATCCGTGCTTAAGAGGTACCTAGCAGATTGTTTATTTCCATTATTATTTTAAGGATTATGTGGTAGTTATGACAAAAAGAAGATACGGAAAACATGATTTATTTAAATTATTGGAACAAAATTATGATACTAATCTCTACCAAATCTACCCCTTACTCTGTCCATGTGATGACAACACTGAGTGCTTCACTTTCTTTAGTTTTACAATTTTATTATTTTAATAGCCCCAATTCTGAATCAAACCTGTTAAAATTTAAAGGTTGTTAAAAAGAAACAGCCAATCAGATTTACGAATTTAACCCGTTACTATGGAAATTTGCAATTTAACACCCTTTAAATTTAACAACTTTGATTCAGAATTGCCCCTATTGTCTATTAAATAAGTTGCTAAGCATGCCATTTTTTTTCTCCAGCAAACTAGATGGATCACCATACTCAATAACCATACCTTTATCTACAACCAATACTAAGTCAAAATTTAAAACATAACGCAATTTGTGCATCACTGCGATGACTGTACATTCAGCAAAAATGTCTGATATTACTTTCTGTATCAAAGCTTCGGTATCGGAATCGACACTGGCATTACTTTCGTCGAAAATTACGACTTTGTTACGCCGAACTAGAGCTCTACACATACAAATCAGTTGTTTTTGACCAACGCTTAAATTATTGCCAATTTTCTCATCCAAATTTCGAAAGAGTGACAAATTCACGGTTGAAATAGCTTTCCAAATATCATCGTCTGAATATTGTCCTCTAGGATCAATATTTTCACGTAACGTTCCCGAAAATGTAGTAGGTTCTTGTGGAACTACAGATATTTTTGACCTGAGGAAATCCACTGGAAGTGTTTTGATGTCTACGTTGCCAATAAAAATGGTTCCTTCAAAATCGTAAAGTCGGACGAGTGTAGAAATCAATGACGTTTTTCCTGAACCAGTCCTACCAACGATGGCAACTTTTTGTTTATTTTTTATGACGAAATTTAAATGTTTTAAAACATGGTCTTGGTCGCTCTTGTAAGAAAGGGACACGTCTTTAAATCGTATTTCACATCCCTTTGGCCAGTGTTCTATTACTAAACCATCTTTGCTTTCTTGTTTTTGTTTAGTGTACTCCAAAAGCCTTTCTACTGTTATCATTTGATTCTGAAATTTAGTTATCGTATCATAGAAGCAATGCTCTGAAGTTGTCAAACTAAATATTTGCGACAAAACAAGTCCAACTTTTGTTGCTGCCATTTCTAAAAAAATATTGTTAGTTAGAATCACTTGGCTCTCAAGATTTTAATTTACTCTCATCTAGTGCTAGAAAAAGGATAACTGCGAAAGTCATGAGAATTATTTCGTCGGTTGCTAGCATCATGTGATATGCATTCTCACAACATTTGTACATGTAAGAACATGAAGTATGCAAATCTTGATGTTGGTCAAATTCTTTTCGCAATGTGTCTTGAATTCTTGAGGTCCTTATGGTTGTCAGTCCATCTAAAGTAGCATTGATGTATCCAATCAAAGGACTTCGTGCTAAGTTTATAAGAGTTGTCATTTTGAAAAATTTTGTTTTTATGCTTACTCAAGAATTCCAGTCGTTTTAAAGCGTTTCCAATTCTTAAGTACAACATTTGTACGAATACCATGAATACATTAATCAGAATACATGGAATCAGGAACGAAGCATTAACTGTAGCTATGAGAATAATAACTCCAACTGTTCCTACAAAATACTAAAATTCAGGAATATAATAAGTCACTTTATAAAATTAAACCATTTACACCCATTAGTAGAAAAAACGTCAAGGGTAGTATTTCATCAATGTACAGTATGTCTTCTGAAAATCTGTTCAAAAGAATTCCTATTCGATTCTTGTCAAAGAATTGCATAAAACTGCGAACCACCTTAGCGAAAACTAAATTGTGAAGCTTGAGTGAAGCTTTGGCAGCAAGCACCCAGAAAAAATATGTATTTAATACCATTAATATGGTCGCAGTTGAAATAACTATAGGTAGAAAAATTAGCATTTGGTGACGTTTTTCATTTGCCTCGATGTAGATTTCCTTGTCGGTGGCATTGTTAAATAATACTTGTTCCGCATTTATCCTACAAGTTCAAGTCAGTGGGAGGAAATTATCAAATTTCAGTCTTACCAAACGGATTCCATTTGATTGATGGAACTTTTCAAAAACTGAATGATCCCAGTGAGAAGTAAAACAAAAAAAATTTTGACCATGCCTCCATTTTCTTTAATATATTTTTTGTAAGCTTCGAATTCAACCTTTCCTTTTACTTTCGTTTCTGTGTATAGTTCTTTGATTACTTTGTCGTTTTTAATCAATGGGGTTTCATCGTCAAAGTTTTCTTCCGCATCTTTTTCGCTTTTTGCTTTATATTTTTCAAAATATTTCATACTTTTAGTTGCCGTAATTTTTGGGTTGGTGCACTGGATGGGGTGTAAGTTTTTCATTTTACCATTTTTCATTGTTATGAAGTTATTGGACCTATTGGCGTACGTTATGGATGGAGTAACCAAGATCACTATTTTGTCTTTCAAAAATTTTTTAATGCACTGTTCAAATACAAAATCTGCAACAATCGCATCCAAACCAGCCAGACAATCATCTAATAAATATATGTCACGTTCTTTATAAACAGCACGCGCTAAATTTATTCTAGCTTGTTGTCCTTTACTTAGATTAGCTCCTCCGTCAGTTACAAGAGCAGAATCGCCATCGCTTAAAGAAAGTAGATCTTCAAGTAGAGCACAAACTCGTAAAACTTCTAAGTAACGATTTTCGTCGAAAGCACTTCCAAATAATATGTTCTGTTTGATGGTCGATGGAAAAAGCCAGGGTTCTTGACATGCGTAAGAAATGCTGCCGACAACTTCTAAATCGCCTTCTACATTTTTGTATTCTTTTGTGAGGACTTTCAGCAGAAGACTTTTGCCACTGCTAATAGGTCCTGTTACTGCTGTTATTCCTCCTACAATGTTACAGTTTTTCAAATTTATTAGTGCGTGTGCAGTATGAATTTTTAAATTCATCTGAATTCTGGGTGATAGCTTATTGTCTTCCACGAAGGATTCATTACTCTTAATTCGAAGTGTTTGTCCAATTCGCTTAAACACGGCAATTAAAGTAGCTATTTCATGTATCGCTGTTGGAAAATTGTCTTTCATGCCATATGAAACAACAGTTAGACTGTTTATTATAAGAAATAATGTCCCGGCAGTTGACTGGATGTTGAACCATATGGATATTGCTACAACTATGTACCACGACGCGTTGTGAAATGATTCAGAAAGTACCAGTTTTAGAAATAACAATATATTTATATTGCGTATAAGATGAATTTCTTCTCTGTAAATAAAGAAAAAAACAACAAAATCAGTTCTTTGTTTACCTGCTTACTTTCTTATTTTAGCAATTTTCTTTTCATAACTGTCTTCCCGAAGGTTCATTTTGACGACTTTTATTGCACTTAATGCTTCTCTTATTGTTTGATATCTTCCATCAGTTTTTCTCAAAGATTTCAATTTAAGTTTACGCACCAAAGCTGCTATGCATGCTGAAAAAATTTAAAGTCGAAATGGTTATCTTAGTTCTTGCCTGCTTACTGTTGACGAACATGCTAATGAAAATTATCGTGGGGATTATAAGAAATAACCATCCAATTTCTGAATATAGGACACAACATACTGCCACAGTCTTAGATAGATCTTTTATCATATTGGTTATTTTAGATACAGCTTCTTCAAATTCACTCACATCTGTGGTTATCAGATTTATCATCTTTCCACTTTGAACTACTGATGGGTTCATTCTTAAAAGTTGTCTGTAGATTAAAGATGTGAATCCAGCACGCATTTTAATCCCAAATTCTGAAACCCTTAGAAAAAAGTTGTGTATGTGCAGACGTCTTATAACCGAAACTATGATCAACAATAGTCCATACAAGCTCGCATCAGCTCTGCTTAGATTATTGTGTCCTGGTGTGAAATATGATATGAGTTGTTTTAGTATCTTCGGTTGCAAGATCCTAAAGAAATGATTAAAAGCGAGGTGTAATTATGAACGTTATCTTAAATACGTTATTGTCACTGGGATGACCAAGCTGAATATTATTACAAGATATTGTCTGCCAAAACATTTCCAAAGAAGTTTAGGTATAGATGTTTTATTTTCACCCATTTGTGTGTTCCACTCCTCTTCTAATTTATCTCCTAATGTTTTTGACTTATGTTCGGGAAGCACTTCATATATATCATTTTGAGTCAGGTCTGTTCTGTAACCCTTGATGAATGTATTCTTTGTATATCTAAAATTCGTAATTACTCACATAGTTCAAGTTTTTTTATAGAGTTGATTGTAAACTTACAAAAAAAATAAATTCCAAAACCAGTGTCTGTGTTTCTCGGGATTAATTGATTTTTTCTTTGTTTTGTAGTAGTCCATTTAAGCTTTACAGAAAATATTTGCGACAGTTACTATGTTATATGGAAAATATATTGTTTAACTTTGCAGTTTATGGTCAAGTAATGTGTGAATGAGATTTGAATATACTTATATATAGTCACTTTCATGTAGTGTGAAGGCTGAAGCAATTGACTGTATTATTATAGTAAAATAATAGTAAAATAAAAAACGAAATATAGGCGCTTAAGTCAGTTTTAACGATAAGCGTAAGGTGAAATTATCCTAATGTCTAAAAAAAATGGTACCAATTTTGATAAGAACTGTAACAGTGGGTATCCAGGAGGTCAAAATTGTCCATACGAAATACACTATGCAACAACAGCACAATTGTAAGGTGAAGGTGAAGTCAATGAACGAAGTAATTTTCATTAACGATTTATCATGCTTAATATAACCCTAAAACGTTTGCTTGATTTCAGAGCATTCGATTTTGAAGTTTCGAAGTTTCCAAGTTGAAAATGGATGGCAAGGGTAAAAACTCAATTTGGATTCGTACCGTAGGTACATATGCAGGAATATCTTATTTTATAGAATTAATTATAATAGTTATTTGCTAATGTAAATTTTGGAGATGAGCTTTTCTTGATGATGAGGTCGGTAATTGAATTATTTTGGTTACCTTTTTGCCATCTGGACGATATTTCTAAGACACATATAAAATTTGACAACAATCGGTCCAGTATTTTCGGAGATTATCTGTCTAATAAAAATTCAGACAGACCGTAAACAGACAGACAGGCAGTGGAACAGACGGAAACGGGGGACCTATGAAATGTTAAGATAAAATGAAAGTATCCAGACATCCAATTGACTCGATTACAATAATTACTAGCTAACACTCAGAAAGAAAAATTAACGTAAAAAGGATACTAATAGAGGCATTAATTACGTACACTATGAGGTCTATTTTGTAACTCTTAACGATCTAACATCTACCTTCTCGTTAGGTTGATAACTTATTTTATATTTTTTTTTACTGCAGGGACAGAATGAGAAATTTGTTTCTGTTTTAAAGAGATGTAAACGACCCCTTCTTCGTTCCAGAAAAAACCTACCCACTGTCAAGGGAAGCGGCGGGAGATGTATTTCAAAAAATACTGCCGCAAATGAAACGATGAAGGAGGCTAACAAAAACTCCTTCAGTTGTAAAATGTGTGATTTTATTACACTTCTTTGCCCAAGGAAGTTACCAAAAATCTGTGGGCAAAGATCAGCACTGCACCGTCTCTCAAAGTGTAGTCAGCAAATCTTTGAAGGAGGTTACAAACGTTTTGGTGGAAATTGCTTCAAGATACATACAGTTTCCCAGATATATGCAAGAGGCTGCAGCCGTGAAAGCGGGATTTTACGAAAAATTTGGGTTTCCCGATACCTATAGAGGGATGCATTGACGGAACTCATATTCATGTTCCGTCCATCCTAGCAGAGTGTATGTGAACAGAAAGAACAGTCATTCCATAAACTGTCATAAAATTTTAAACATCAATGCTCGTTTTCCCGGGTCAGTTCACGACAGTGGCATTTGAATGATGAGTGATGCTAAAGAAATTATGAGGAACAACCATATGTAAGGCGATAGGACAACATGGCTTTTAGGAGATTCGGGGTATCCTTTAGCACCGTTTCTATTGACCTCTATCATTTACAACAAAGCACATACTTGTGTGAGGAACTGTGTTGAACGTTATATTGCTCTGTTGAAATCATATTTTAGAAGTTCACGCAAAGACAGAGTTCTGTATTATTCACCAGAAGGTACAGGAAAAATGTGTTGTTTTATACAATATTTTACGCATAAGAAATATCGAAAATGAGGAGCTCAGCATTGTCTATGACGATGAGACCGATAATAATGAATTAATGAAGAACTTGAACATGAAGAACAAAATGAATTTCGTGTTAGTGTGATTAACTGATTATTTTCTAGTTTTACTTTCATAATTATTGTTTACTTACATGTTATAAATTCACAAATTAGTCCAAACTTGCAATCAGCAACAAAACAAATGTCACAACAGAGAACAACGTAATCCACACGACCACACGCTACACAAAGTCAAATACTACCGATTATAAAAACGCTGGATTCATAGTTCCGCTAACGATTTCAAAACTTAACGATTACGACAGTGTTTATAAAACTGATTTTACGATTGCTTCGAACGATTTTCGTTTCGAAACGAAATTGTTCTGCGGCGATTACAAAATAGACCTCTTATACCTACGCGTCCGAAAAAGTGAATATATCACAAAATCAAAAGTTTGACAAGGGAAAAAATACAAGAAGAATATCTAAGCGGAAACGCCTATAACATTTGTTAAATACGTTTTATACATAGTTTTAATAATAAATACAAACATTACTTTACAAAAATAAGCTACATTATTTCAACTTAACATAAAATGAAAAACAGGGTTTAGAAATATGTCTTAAAATAATTTTCACATATGGCTCTACAAATTTAACGAAGAATTTTCATATTCATTGACGAATCTGTAAAAATAACCATTAACGTTTTGTAGAAGTCTATTTGGGGTGCCAAATTCCACGGCACAACCATTATCTAAAACCAAAATCTTGTCCGAATTCATCACACTATCCAGTCTATGTGCAATTCTTAAAATCGTTGCTTTATGAAATCTCTTCTGAATTGTAGTTTGAATCAATTTCTCCGTGTTTAAATCAAGAAAAGCAGTTGCTTCGTCAAGAACAATAATGGTGCATTTTTTTAAAATAGCTCTAACTAAACACATTAGCTGCTTCTGTCCCGTACTAAAATTGACCCCGCCTTCCAAAAGAGAACTGTTCAAACCAGAGGGTAAATTTGAAACAACGTGTTTCAAATTCACTTCTTCTAGAGCACTCCATAGCTGGCAGTCCGTGAATTCTTTGAAAGGATCTAAATTTTCACGTATGGTGCCTGAGAAAAGAACAGGATCTTGAGGAACAGTAGCAATTCGAGATCTCAGAGTGCCAAGAGGAACCGTTTTTATATCGACGTTGTCTATTAAAATAGTTCCTTCGAATTCGTACAAGTGAAAGAGCGCATTTATCAAAGATGATTTTCCGGCACCAGTTCTTCCAACGATTCCTATTTTTTCACCAGCTTGAAAATCCACACTGATGTTTCTAAGGACAAACGGCTTTTCCGGAGAATATTGCATGCAGACCGTTTGAAATAGTATTTTGCCTTCTGCAGGCCAAGTGGCAGGAGGATTAATTTCACTTTTAATATTATGTTCAACTGTCAGGTCATCGTATTCCACAACTCTTTCAACTGAAGTCATCTGTGTTTCAAGCTCACCATAAATCTTGATCATGTACTGTATCGCTGAAATCATTAAGAGCGATTCTGTAATGGATAAACCAACGTTTCCCACCATATCACCTAAAAAAGCTGCATGAGAGTACCGTCAACAATTACTAAATTACTTGCTTTTTTTGAAGATTATTAGAAAGAAAATAACAACGGCTACATATAACATACAAGTGAAATCTGTCCAAAATGCATAAGAAGCGTGCAGAGCGTGATAGAGATATCTAATCGAGTTATAAGAATCTTGATAGCGTTCAAATTTAGACAAAGAGTGTTTTTGGGCTTTTGAAACTCTGATGGTTGTCAATCCGTCAATGGTAGCAACCACGTGAGTATAAATAGGACTTTTACCTAAAAAAATGAAATCAGTGGAAGATGTAGTCCTGATCTTTGTTACAAGTTTACGTGTGGCGGCGATTCTCTTCAGTTTGTTAAGTACTGGTCGGAAAGCTTGCAAATAGTAATAAAAAATTACCAACAAAACCAGTGTTGGTGCAATCATGTAATAATTGACTGCATTGACAACGACATAAATACCTAACACAGTGCAAATTTGTCTTGCAACTTGATACATATTTTTAGGGATGGTCTCATCGATGGCACTTATATCACTAGAAATTCTATTAACAATTCGACCAGATGGATGATTGTCGAAAAAATGTGTAGTTCCATACAGTATTTTGTTGAATAGCGTATCGTGCAACTTAAGGGAGCACTTATTACAGCATTCTACAAAGTTTAAAGAACCCATGTGAAACAAAAATACCACTATTAGAATAAATCCACTGTAAATGTACAAACATTTAACGTCGGAAAAGTATTGCAACAGTGTTATGCTAAATTTAGTAGGATTTTGTCTCAGGTTGATCCAGAAAGACAAGAACACGTCTGAACCGTTCATAAAAACTTGACTTAAAATGAAAAGGAAGAACTGAAGATAGACGGAGAACTTGTTTTCATTGGCAAATAAATATGTTCTATATGTGTTGACTTTATCACCACCTCTGTGTTCTTTAGTTTCAATTTGGGCTTTACAATTATTTCCACAAAGTTTTGTCACTGTTTTGTTTCTGTTTTCTTGTACGTTATTTGGGGTCTCTTCTAGTGTTTCATATTTTCCGGAAAACTTTACCTTCCCGTCTTCTAGAACATATACTTTGTCGGAATAATTGAGAAATTTTAAATTGTGTGTTATTAGTACAACACTTTTGGTTTTTAGATATTTCAAAATACATTGGGTAAAAATGTGTTGAGCGACACATACATCCATTGCCGCTAGAGGATTATCTAAAAGATAAATGTCTGCATCTTTGTATATAGCTCGTGCCAAGTTAATTCTGGCTTTTTGGCCGCCACTTAGCATTGCTCCTTTTTCTCCCACCAAAGTTTTGTCTCCATGGGTAAAATGAGCTATGTCATATTCTAAAGCGCAAATTTTAAGGACATCCAAATACTTGTTCTGGTTAAAGGCTTCATTAAATATGATGTTTTCTCGGATGGTTGCCGAAAACACCCATGGATTTTGCGATGCATAAGATATCAAACCATCCTGGGAGAGAATTCCGTCGACTATAAATAGTTCTTGCAATATAGTTTGGAATAAAGAAGACTTTCCACTCCCTGTGTCTCCGGTAACTGCAACTAGCTGACCACAAACAAGTTTGAAATTTACGTCTTTTATCGTCGCCTTTTGTGATGGGTTCCATTGAGCCGTTAAATTACGAGCATATATTTTGCAACCTTGCAGATCTTCTATTTTTTGTTTGTCAATAGTTGCTTCGTGATCCGATAGCAAAAATATTTCGATGCGGGTTAAGCACACTTTTACTTCTGATATTAAATTAACAGCAAAAGTTGCTTGATGCACGGATGTTTTAAGTAAATTGTATATGTTTATAGACATAAAAATCAAATGTGGCTCTAAAGGAGTACCAGTCGTTGTTAAAAGTAAAATAAACGCGTAAACAGATAGTTTGTGAATGTACGTCGCAATCGTAATGTTATCGTTTGATATGCGATTCAGCTTTTTCACATGGGTAAGTTCACATCTAAAATTTAACGAGTTAATAACAGTGGCTTGATTTTAAAAATTAAAACCTTCTAATTTTATTTATGAGTTCAGCAAAAGGTTTCTCCCAAACATACGTTTTGATCTCTCTCATTCTAAAAATAATATCGTTCATTATACGTATTCGATTGTCTCTTTCTCTAGTCACTTTTTGTCCTCGAGCAGCAGCTCTGGTAAAAAAAAAATCTGAAATACGGTGCGTTACGTCCGATGGAATGATAAAAAATTATACTAACATTGAGAAAGTGAAAAAATTACCATTATTCCTACTCCAACGACTCCTTGATAACTAGACAATAAAAGAAATAACAATATTGCTACGATGATTTTCAAAATACCGTTCCACATGCGGTGAAAAAGACAAAAAACCGTTTCAAATTTGTCAACGTCGGTAGAAAACAAGTTTAGTACATGTGCCAACGATTTTTTTTGTATAGTAGCTAATTTCGTTGTTACAATCTTTCTATAAATTAAGGAGGAACAAGATGTACGAACTTTCAAACCAGTGCTGTAAGTTTCCAAGTAATGGAACTGGAAGCTTAGCACTCGAAGTAAAATAGACAAAACTACGGCTAGTCCATAAATATATGCCTCCCTTGACGTGAGTTTTTGGTTTTGTGAGAAATATTCCAATAGTTTACCCAGATATAGAGATTGAAGGAACCTGCAATAGTCCGAACTTTTAGTAAATATCTGTTTTCTTAAAGTCATTTACCGACATGCGTTTAATTGCAGCTAGTGACCTATGTGCTAAAGCTTATATGCAACAGTATTCAATATGATTAGGATTTTTGAAAATGTGATAGTTTAAAGTACAATTTACTCGCGGTAGATTGAAAGAGTTTGTAACAGTATCATTTATATAACACATTTTTTTTTAGTATATGGTAGAGGAAATTTGCGTTTTGCTTCCATTTTAAGTTTCTATTACGCATTATGTAAACTTTAGCATTATCAGATGTTTTGCTGAACTGCGTCATGGTGAATTCTTACGATTTTTATTATTATTATGACTCTTATTTATGTTAAAATCATTAAGTTTAGTTTTTGTGGCAGTTTTTTTAGCTTAGTCATGTCGATGTCACCAGATTGTAGGTTGATTTTATGCTTACATTGATAGTGAATCTGCTATACAAAAAAATAATCCACAAAGCACATATTTGATGCCTAAAAATTGTGCCAATGTTCTCGTAAAAGAAGGTTTTTTTCTAGAAATTTTTTCTTTATTCCATAGCGCTTCCAGTCTGTCTCCTGATAATTGTGTCTCATGATCTCTTGTCGGTGTTGTGAAGTCGTCGTCTGTAATTCCATGTTTCCAACACTTCAAAATTGTTTTCAGCTGCCAACTAAAATTTGAAGATATAATATAGCTAAACGGTGAAAAATCCATACCAGAAAAAAAAATGAGACAAGAAATTTGCCTCTTCCTTGGGATGAACATTTTTCGGTGCATTATTAATTATAATCTTCTTTGTTCTCAGGAAATCCATTGAAAAATATCCACCTTTAATCGTTTTGGTTTGCAAAACTACTACTTACTAAAATGCTTTAATTTTTGTGTTTAGAAATGGAGTCGAATAAAACAGCAATTAAGCAAATTTTTATGTGACTATAAATTATAACTGTAGCCGCTATTATACAGTGGTTGCATTTGCTTTAAAGCTTTATTTATGTAACTCGTTGTCTTAATTACCTGGTAGGTTTTAAACTGCACGAATGGCATTGGAGTTAATAAGATTCCATTTTTATTTATTTTTTCAATGATATCCCATTTACTGCTGATAACACTATCAGTATGTTAACTTTATGTCAGTTTTATGTACGTAGGTGAAACATAACTTTTTGAGAACGCTCTTCCTAAGCTGAAATTTATGGTCACATGTGGCATCATTTTTTATAGATTTGTGAATTATATCCTTCTAAATGTTATGGATTAGACTGATTTTTTCTCAAAAAAAGTACTGTTGCAATATTTATTGGTGGTATTAAAGTACAGAATTAAGGTTGCGATTTAGGACACATTTCATTCTTTGAGAATCATGCATATACCATAACATTATGTCTGGGCACAGAGGATTCTCAGGTGACTCAATGTTTTAAAGGGGTCACGTTGTTCATGACAACATTTAAATTTTCCGCATTTAAAAAAAGTAAATTAAAATTTGAAATTTTTGTACTTAAAAAGGGGAATAAATTTAAGAAGAGCAGATATAGGAGCACCTTTTTTTTACTACTTATAGTTTACAATAATTTCATACAACATACTTGAACATTAAATACAAAACATTCAAACAATAAAAAAGTACAGAGAGTATACAATTCTTTAAAAAAATATAAATATCAGTTCAAACTATTGATAAGTATGTAAATAATGAACGTTCCTACGGCTTATATTATTTTATCTACAACTGCTTTATAAAGGCCTTATTACACAACTCATTCGGCACTGTTTGAGTTGAGTAATAAACCCTATTATTCCACTAGTGGTGTAATAGAAACATTATACCACTAGTGGTGTCCACTTCTTAGTTGAATTTTATTTACATGTAAATTACAACAAATTACATTGATTAATTCTTAACTTATTTGCTATACACGTCGATAATACATTTCTTACAATTACTGATATTAATACCAGGTGAAATGAAATAATTTGTATCTTTGTCCATAATGCTTAGGTTTTGTTGGCAAAATGTTTGTTACAGCTCCAGTATTTAAGATTTCTCTTCTAACAATGCTCGAATCTCGGTTGTAGCTACTGGCAGTACTTGTTCTGGCTCAAGCATCACCTCCAAGAATATCAGAAGCGGTCTTTTTCTTGTTTTCAATCGAAGTGTCGACATAATCTTCACATACAGCCCAAAGGCTGCTGCACTCACAACTTTTCGACAAATCTTCAAACAATGCCAACAGCACCTTCTCTCTTGCTTCATGATTTACTCGTATTTTCTTGGATGTACACCAGTCAGTGAACCGTTTATAAAATTTTTCGTATTTGGTTTTTGATTTATCAGGGAACAATGAAGATACTAGATTTGCAGCAGCTTCTTCTGTTTCGAAAGACAGGCTTTCTGCTTCAGAATCACTCATTTCTCGATTGAACAACATTTTTTTTCTAAAAACTGATGCGTTGTTTACAACAAATTTGAGCGGTTGTCATTTATGTCAACACAAACTTCAGAAGTAAACTTAGCCCACACGATGGCTGTTTATTTAATTTCCTTACTGCATAATGCAAAGCATTTTCATTATCATTGTCCAACATATTGACGACGGCTCCGTTTTTGAGCAGTTCATAAATAAATACAGAGATTTCGTATTTGCTGGCAAGATGTAGCGGTGTTCACTAGAGAGCGGATTTCTAGGTTTAATGCTTTTTGTGAAAAATGTAAGCACTTCAAAACTTTTTTATATCTGTAACTATATGATACAATTTGGAGTCATTTGACACATTTTTTTTTATGCTTATTTGTTTTTTTTTCAATTTTATCCATATTAAAATTTATATGCTTATTTAATGCTTTTTTCGACGAATATGAGTTTGAATGCATATTTTGTTCAAATGCCGGCCTTGTCGGGATGACAAATACTTGTTAGTTAGCCGTATCGTATCGTATGCATTTTACCTGGACTTGACCATTGAAGTACACTTACTCAAGACCCTTTCTGTGAATAGGTTCCGGTCGTTTGGGTAATAAAATTTTATTATAGGATTGGAAAAATACTCCATAGATTTTATGACTTTAAATCCTTACTTCAGTTGATAATGAATTAAAGCTTTTAACCACATGTTCTTTTTCGGCATTTTGCGGCAAGACCGTTGAAGAATTGCTAGAAAAAAGGATTATTGTACCCAACTACCTACCTTAAAATTTTTCTAATGGAAACTTTAAAGTAAATGAACCGTTTATTTCAGAACCATCATTCTATCGCATCTGTCGTAGTTCAGTGTTATTCGTGGTTCTCCCTTGTTACATGTTGAGTTCTTTTCGGTAATATTACTAATATTTTAAAAGAATGCCGAAATTAAAATTAAAATCGACGCGCGATTTTCCAGAATTAAAATTAGAAAACAACAAAATATTCTGCAGAGCTTGTGTGAAAACCGTAAGCCCACTATTTTTTTTTTATCTATTTTCCTTTGTTAAACCTGTATATGTACGTTGTTTTAGATTGAAAGTGATAAAAAATATAACGTGACGCAACATGTCAGAACGACTCTTCATGTGGAAAGGAAGAAAATGTTTGAAGTTTCTAAAATTAAACAGCAGACCATACATGAATCTGTTGCATCTACTTCCACAAAAGATGAACAGTTTCAGTTTAATTTCGATTTATGTAAAATGATGATCCAGTCCAATATACCTCTAAAAAAATTGGAGAAAGGTCCTCTTCAAGAATTCCTTGAAAAACACTGCAATCGACATATTCCGGTTGAAAGTACTCTCCGAAAAATTTATGTAGGCCCAGTGTTTCAACAAGTTTACAACGAAATTAAACATCGCATTGGAGATAATTATTTATGGTTCACTGTCGATGAAACAACCGATAGTTGTGGAAGATACGTGGCAAGTTTAATTGTTGAAAATTTCCCTAGTCGAGGGTATGTAGTAAGTTTGAAAATGTTAGATAAAACAAATGGCAATACGATTACCAGATTTGTAAATGACAGTCTTACGTCACTATTTTTGCCAATAAAATTTTATTGATGATCTCGGATGCAGCTCGTTATATGTTGAAAGCAGGGAATAATCTAAAAATATTTTGCCCCAATTTAATTCACTCTACTTGCATTGCCCACGGTTTAAACAGAGTGGCTGAAGGAATACGTTTGCAGTTTCCTACTGTTAATAAATGAGTGGTAAATGGTAAAAAGATTTTTGTTAAAGACCCACTAAGAGTGCAACATTTTAAGGAAAAATTTCCAAACATACCATTGCCCCCAGAGACGATTATAACGAGGTGGGGAACATGGTTACAGGCCACAATTTATTATGACAAATATATCAACGAATTTGAGGAAGTAGTTACGGAGTTTAGCGAAGATTCTTCTCAATCGATTAAAGATTGCATAAATATTTTGGAAAACAAAGATTTGCGACAAGATCTAACCTTTTCTAAGAAGCAATTATCAATTCATATGTGAGGTAATAGAAAAGTTAGAAAAACCCAACATGTTGTTGGTAGATGCCATAAACTTAGTGAAAGAATTTAAACAACAAGCAAACGCAGTAAGGGGTGATATTGGTACTAGAGTATCTCAAAAACTTGACGAAGTGTTAAATAAAAATGCAGGTTTCGATGTTCTTTCCGACGTTGCTCGTGTTTTACAAGGCCAGAAGGTGGAAAATTTGGAGTTAGATTCAACATTAGTTGTAAAATTCAAATTTGCGCCAACAACGAGTGTGGATGTTGAACGCACATTCTCCAAATTTAAACACATTTTAAATGATCGGCGAAAAATTTTACAGTGGACAACTTGGAACATATTACAATCATAAATTGTTTTAAAGAAAACTGAAATACGTGTGTAAAATATAAAGTCTAGGATTATTGTAATAATATTTTTTCCAAAGTTCTAAGAAGTGTTCTTTGATTTGTAATATGATTATGTTTTTAATGCTTTTTTGCTTAAAATAAAAGTTTTTTATTGAAAATGTTGTGCTTATTTAAGCGCTTATTCTTAATTTTTTTGTGCTTATAAATCCGCTCTCTATCCATCAATGTTTTGGACATTAATGTCGATGCCTCCGTTGATTAGTAGGTCTAATATACCTGGATTGTTGTTGGTAGTACACATCGCATAGTGGAGAGCATTCTCTTTTTCCGTATCTAAGCTATTAACTTCTGCTCCTTTTGAAAGTAATGTTTGGGCAACTACGATATTACCGTGTTGGCAGGCCAGGTGTAGGGGTGTTGTTTTGGTGTTATCCTTGCTGTTAACGCTCAAACCATTACGTATTAGGAGTGGTACTAGATTTATAACTATGTTTTGCTGAGATGCGGCAAAGTGCAAAACGTTTTCTCCATCATTGTTCAAAAGTCCAAGCTCTCCTCTATTTTGAAGTAATAGATTCAGAATATTTAAATTACCAGCTCCACATGCAAGATGTATTGCTGTAGTCCCATTATTATCTTTAGCGTTGACATCTAAACCATTTTGTGTTAGTAAATGTATGATATCTTCATTTGGTTTTTCTGTTGATAGAGCACAATACAAAGGTTTTCTGTATTCCCTATCTACCTTCTCACCCATAAGGATCTTTGACTTCTTGGACTTGTAACCTGATGACTTCTTCAGGAATGCAATAAGTTTTCCGAACTACATTAATTTTTCATATTGAATCACAATTCAAGATAAAAGTAGGTACACATCTGTTAATATCCATTTTTTCCTCCAATATAATAACGGCCTTTAACATTGAATAATAGCTCCACAAATTGCAAGGTTACGGACAAATAGGCGAGAATTATTTCCTCCGGCCTTTTTCTCACTTTTCCAGCTGCAAAACTTCGTGTACTCTCTTATGAAAGAGTATGAACAACTTTCTTGATTTTTCTGGAAGCAAATTGTTGGTCGCCGTTTCAGCAACATCGTTCGGAACAAACATAGTAAGCATAGTCAAAAGTCTGAATTCACAATTTTTTGCAAATAAACACCATTGCTATCAAAGTGAACGAATCAGTCTCTGGGGTCCAGTTCTTCTCAGATGCTTTCAATTTATGTCAAATTATTTACGAAATGAAGAGTAGGACTGCATGCCGTCGGTGTTGAAAATGTAGTATAATTGGCGTACTCATGCATGTTATGACGATTACAACTGTTACAACTTTTGCACCGCTATATCTCGGAGACGGTGGCTCGTAGGAAAAAAAGTGTAAATACATTTTTTATAAACAATTTTATGATCTATAATTTTAGCCAGAAGTATTTTTATGATAAAACTTACCGTTTTGCTGAAAATCGCGAAAAACTCATTTTTTTGACATTTGACCTTGAATAAAAATTTTTCCATACACGGGAATGATGGGCAACTTTCAGGTTTTGTTTATAATTGTATTTTGAACAATTGTAGCAAAATTCAGCTTGTTGCGAATTTATGTAATCTCACCCCAATTTTTTGGTCTAATTTGACCGGACTATAACTCCAACTGTTCCGGCAAAATACTAAAATTCAGAAATGTTATAAGTCACTTTATAAAATTAAACCATTTACACCCATTAGTAGAAAAAACGTCAAGTGTAGTATTTCATCAATGTACAGTATGTCTTCTGAAAATCTGTTCAAAATAATTCCTATTCGATTCTTGTCAAAGAATTGCATAAAACTGCGAACCACCTTTGTGAAAATTAAATTGTGAAGCTTTAGCGAAGCTTTGGCAGCAAGCACCCAGAAAAAATATGTATTTAATACCATTAATGTAGTCGCAGTTGAAATAACTATAGGTAGAAAAATTAGCATTTGGTGACGTTTTTCATTTGCCTCGATGTAGATTTCCTTGTCGGTAGCATTGTTAAATAATACTTGTTCCGCATTTATCCTATAAGTTCAAGTCAGTGGGAGGAAATTATCAAATTTCAGTCCTACCAAACGGATTCCATTTGATTGATGGAACTTTTCAGAAACTGGATTATCCCAGTAAGAAGGAAAACTAAAAAAATCTTGACCATGCCTCCATTTTCTTCAATATATTTTTTGTAAGCTTCGCATTGAACCTTTCCTTTTACTTTCGTTTCTGTGTATAGTTCTTTGATTTCTTTGTTGTTTTTAATCAATGGAATTTCATCGTTAAAGTTTTGCTCCGCAATTGACTCTTCTTTTTCGCTCTTTGCTTTATATTTTTCAACATATTTCATACTAATAGTTTCCTTACCTTTTGGGATGTTACATTGGATGGGGTGCGAGTTTTGCATTTTACCATTTTTCATTCTTATGACGTTGTCTGACCAATTGGCGTACTTAATGGATGGAGTAACCAAGATCATTATTTTGTCTTTCAAACATTTTTTCATGCACTGTTCAAAAACAAAATCTGCAACAATCGCATCCAAACCAGCCAGACAATCATCTAATAAATATGTGTCACGTTCTTTATAAACAGCACGCGCTAAATTTATTCTAGTTTGTTGTCCTTTACTTAGATTAGCTCCTCCGTCAGTTACAAGAGCAGAATCGCCATCGCTTAAAGAAATTAGATCTTCAAGTAGAGCACAATCTCGTAAAACTTCTAAGTAACGATTTTCGTCGAAAGCACTTCCAAATAAGATGTTCTGTTTGATGGTCGATGGAAAAAGCCAGGGTTCTTGAGATGCGTAAGAAATGCTGCCGACAACTTCTAAATCGCCTTCTACATTTTTGTATTCTTTTGTGAGGACTTTCAGCAGAAGACTTTTGCCACTGCCAATAGGTCCTGTTACTGCTGTTATTCCTCTTGCAATGTTACAATTTTTCAAATTTATTTGTGTGTGGTTATGTGCAGTATGAATTTTTAAATTCATCTGAATTTTGGGTGATAGCTTATTGTCTTCCACGAAGGATTCATCACTCTTAATTCGAAGTGTTTGTCCAATTCGCTTAAAAACGGCAATTAAAGTAGCTACTTCATGTATCGCTGTTGGAAAATTGTCTTTCATGCCATATGAAACAATAGTTAGACTGTTTATTATAAGAAATAATGTCCCGGCAGTTGACTGGACGTTGAACCATATAGATATTGATACAACTATGTACCACGACGCGTTGTGAAATGATTCAGAAAGTGCCAGTTTTAGAAATAACAATATATTTATATTGCGTGTTAGATGAATTTCTTCTCTGTAAATAAAGAAAAAGAAATATAAAATCAGTTCTTTGTTTAGCTGCTTACTTTCTTATTTTAGCAATTTTCTTTTCATAACTGTCTTCCCGAAGGTTCATTTTGACGACTTTTATTGCACTTAATACTTCTTTTATTATTTGATATCTTTCATCAGTTTTTCTCAAAGATTTCAATTTAAGTTTACGCACTAAAGCTGCTATGCATGTTGAAAAAATTTAAAGTCTAAATGGTTATCTTAGTTCTTGCCTGCTTACTGTTGACGAACATGCTAATAAAAATTATCGTGGGGATTATAAGAAATAACCATCCAATTTCTGAATATAGGACACAACATACTGCCACAGTCTTAGATAGATCTTTCATCATACTAGTTATTTTAGATACAGCTTCTTCAAATTCACTCACATCTGTGGTTATCAGATTTATAATCTTGCCACTTTGAACTACTGATGGGTTCATTCTTAAAACTTGTCTGTAGATTAAAGATGTGAATCCAGCACGCATTTTAACCCCAAATTCTGAAACCCTTAGAAAAAAGTTGTGTATGTGCAGACGTCTTATAACTGAAACTATGATCAACAATAGTCCATACAAGCTCGCATCAGCTCTCCTTAGATTATTGTGTCTTGGTGTAAAATATGATATGAATTGTTTTAGTATCTTTGGTTGCAAGATCCTAAAGGAATGATTAAAAGCGAGGTGTAATTATAAGCGTTATCTTAAATACGTTATTGTCACTGGGATGACCAAACTGAATATTATTAAAAGATATTGTCTGCCAAAGCATTTCCAAAGAAGGTTTGGGATAGATGTCTTATTTTCATCCATTTGTGCCTTCCACTCCTTTTCTAATTTATCTCCTAATGTTTTTGACTTATGTTCGGGAAGCACTTCATATATATCATTTTGAGTCAGGTCTGTTCTGTAACCCTTGATGAATGTATTCTTTGTATATCTAAAATTCGTAATTACTCATATTGTTCAAGTTTTTTTTTTTTTGAGTTGATTATTAACTTACAAAAAAAATAGATTCCAAAACCAATGTCTGTTTTTCTCCGGATTATTTGATTTTTTGTTTGTTTTGTAGTAGTCCATTTAAGCTTTGGGGTAATATTTTCAATAGTTACTATCGTTTGGAAAAATATATTGTTTAACTCTGCTATTTATCGTCAAGTAATGTTATGTTGCTATATTAAAGTATGATTAATACTTATTTGAATATACTTATATATAGAGCTACTTTCATAGAAGTGTGATAGTTTGAAGCAATTTACTGTATTGTTATAGTAAAATAATGATAATACTGAAATTTTGATAAGAATTGTACCTGTGGATATCCAGGAGGTGAAAATTTTTCATACGAAAAACATTATGCAACAACGGCACAATTCTATGACTTCATGATTTTTTGGAGAGGCTATCAACGTATTAATTTTCATTAACGATTTTTCATGCGTCTTACCTATAACCTTAAAACTTTCGTACGAGTTCAGAGAATTTGATTTTGGATTTTCAAACGTAGATTGTAAAATGGATCTATCTTATATTATAAAATTAATTATAATATTAGCTAATGTAAATTTTGGACGTGAGGTCAGCCTGATGATGGGGTCAACTATTCAATTATTTTGGTTAGTGTTTTGCCATCTTCAGGATATCCTTATGAGAATGTAAAATTTGACAACAATCGGTTCAGTATTTTCGGAGATTCTCTGTCTAATAAAAGTCCGGACCGACGGCAAACCAGACAGAGAGGCAATGAAACAGACGGAAACGGGAGACCTATGGAATGTCAAGAAAATATGAAAGTATCCAGTCATTTAATGGCCTCGGTTAAAATAGTTTTTTAGCTAACGCTCATGAAGAAAAAGTTTTCGTTAAAAGGAGAGTTATAAAGGTATTTATTAAGTACACTTATGCCTACCAGTCCGAAAAAGAAAATTTTTCTCCGAATAGCAATATATCACAAAGTCAAATGATTGACAAGGAGAAAATAGAAAAACCATATCTAAGCGAAAGCGCTTATAACATTTGTTAAATACGTTTTATTAACATAGTTGAAAAAACATAATAAATAATAGCGGTAATAAATACAAACATTACTTCACAATAAAAGCTGCGTTATTTCAACTTAGCACAAAATGAAAAACAAAATTTAGAAATACTTCATTCCTTCAAAGTGAATTCTAAGGAAAACAAGCATGTACCATAACATTATGTCTGGGCACACAGGATTCTGAGCTGACCCAATGTTTTAAAGGGGTGACGTTGTTCATGACAACATTTACATTTTCCTCATTTAAAACAAGTAAATAAAAATTTGAAATTTTTGTACTTAAAAAGGGGAATAAATTTAAGAAGAGCAGAGATAGGAGCACCTTTTTTAGTATTTATAGATTATAACAATTTCATACAACATATTTGAGCATTAAATACAAAACATATAAACAATAAAAAAATACAGAGAGTGTACAATTCTTTTAAAAATTTTAAATATCAGTTCAAACTATTCATAAGTATGTAAATAATTAACGTTTCTACCGCTTATATTATTTTATCGTGAATATTACGGCAAAAAATTGAACACAATTGAACTAAGTAATATTTTAATTGTAACAATGTAACACATCGTCGTGGTGTCAATTTACATCGTTTCTGTCGATTCCTCTTAGAACCAATAGATTTTCAATATCCAATTTATATTTAGATGTCTTCGATATGTAATCTAATGCATTTTTGTTCCCATTATCTCTAACGTTCACGTTAGCTCTATGAAGAATTAATGTTTCAACATAAGACAGAAGACCACCTTGGCAAGCCAACTGAAGTGCCGTAGTCCCTTCATTGTTCTGTGCATTTATGTCAACACCAAACTTCAGAAGTAAACTTAGCCCAAATGATGTTTCTTCGTTTAATTTTCTTACTGCATAATGCAAAACAGTTTCATTATCATTGTCCAACACATTGATGAGGGCTCCGTTTTTGAGCAATTCATAAACAAATAGATTGTTTTCGCGGTTGCAGGCAAGATGTAGCGGCGTTGCTCCCTCACTGTTCTGGGCATTAATGTCGATGCCTCCGTTGATTAGTAGGCGTAATATACCTGAATTGTTGTTGGTAGTACACATCGCGTAGTGAAGAGCATTCTCTTTTTCCGTATCTAAGCTATCAACTTCTGCTCCTTTTGAAAGTAATGTTTGGGCAACTACCATATTACCGTGTTCGCAGGCCAGGTGTAGAGGTGTTGTTTTGGTGTTATCCTTGCTGTTAACGCTCAAACCATTACGTATTAAGAGTAGTATTAGATTTATATCTCTGTTTTTTTGAGATGCCGCATAGTGCAAAACGTTTTCTCCATCGTTGTCCAAAAGTCTAAGTTCTCCTCTATTTTGAAGTAATAGATTCAGAATATTTAAATTACCAGCTCTACATGCAAGGTGTACTGCTGTAGTCCCATCATTATCTTTAGCGTTGACATCTGCACCATTTTGTGTTAGTAAATGTATGATATCTTCATTTGGTTTTTCTGTTGATAGAGCATAATGCAAAGCATTTCTGTAGTCCATGTCCACAACTTTTGCATTTGCTCCATTTTCTAGTAATGATTTTGTTACCACATAATTGCACTTTTGACAAGCTACTTGTAAGGGCGTTATTCCATCTATATCTTGCGCATTTACATCTACACTTCTGTTGACCAGTAAACGTATTAATTCCTCATTTTGATTTTCTTCTGACGCAGCGTAATGTAAAGCATTTTGGTTATACTTGTCGACAAGATTTCCATCTGCTCCGTGTTCAAGTAATATCTTTGCTGTCAGAAATTTACCAGTTTCACATGCAAGATGAAGGGGTGTTAAACCATCTTTGTTTTGAACATCCACATTAGTTATATAACTTATCAATAAATTGATCAAATCTGCATTCTCCACATCTGATCCTGATGCATAATGTAAAGCACTATCCTTATTATTATCTGTATTATTAACTTCTGCACCGAGTTTAAGTAACTGCTTCACTGTTTCAATATCTCCAGTGTCTCGACATACGCGCTGCAACGCTGTTGATCCATTTTTATCTTTTTCATCGACATCTACATTTTCAGTTTCTATCAAAATGGCGTTCTCACCCGGATTTACTGCTGACGTTGATGAAAATTTCGCTCCTTTTGCAATTAATGATTCCATGATGTCAAAGTAACCAAACTGACTTGCCAGTTTTAAGGGTGTTGTTCCATATTTGTCTGCAGCATCAACATCGAAACTTTCAGCTACTAACAGTTCGAAAATACTGTCGTCGTATATTCCTGAGCGTAGTGCGCAATGTAAAGCATTTTTATCATCATGATCTTTAATATCTACACTTGCTTTGTTCTCAACCAAGATTTCTGTAAGTTCCCAGTTAGCATTCTGGCACGCAATGTGTAATGCTGTAGTACCAGTTGTATTTTGAGCGTTAATATCTATACCGTTGTCTATCAACAACTTAATTGAAATATCACTCCACCAATCGTTTTCAGCTTCGTTGTAACAAACATAATGTAAAGCAGTGTTCTTATCGTTATCGGTCATATTTATGTCTGACCCATTATCAAGAAACGTTTTTGCACTTTCAAAGTTATTATATTGACATGCCAGTTGTAATACTGTTGTTCCTCTCTCATTTTGGGCATTTATGTCGATACCGTTACTTAAGAGCAGATTTATCACTTCCATGTTATCATTTAGGTCCAACGAGTGATGTAAAGCATTTTCGCCAATATGATCTATGCAGTTTACATTAGCTCCATGTTTAAGTAGACTATTTGTTGCTTTATAGTTGCCATGTTTACAGGCAAGTTGTAATGGTGTTGTTCCCATGTTAGCTCGGCTATCAATGCCAATTCCACATTTCAGTAACAGGATAATTATTTCTTCACAATTTGTTTGTGCTTTTGATGTACAATGTAAAACATTTTCGCCTTTGCTGTTACCTAAATTCACATCTGCTCCTCCTTCAACTAAATTCTGAATAACTTCGATATTGCCATATTCGCATGCAAAGTGTAAAGCAGTATTACCCCATTTATCTTGACAGTTTATGTCAACGTTGTTCTCTATTAACAGTTTTGTTATAACTTCGCTGTTTTCAGGCGCCTGACAAGCATAATGTAAGGCGTTTTTGTTATTATCGTCTAAAGCTTGTACGTTCGCATTCTTTTTGATTAGCAACTTGGCAATATCAAAACTTCCATGCTCACAGGCCAGATGTAATGCTGTTACTCCATTATCATTTTTAGCATCGACATCTAGGTCTACACTTTGGAAGATGTTCTCTAGGACACTTAATTCAACAGATGATTTTATAAGTTGGTGCAATATAGTGTTGCCAGATGAACATCGTGCTTCCTTTTCAAGAAGTACTAACACCATGTCATATTTTCTGAAACGACAAATTTGATCTAGGACTGTGAAGCCATTGTTCTCTTTATTTGGTTCTGCGCCATTTTGTAGCAATAACTTCACCACTGAAATATTGTCTTGTCTTGGGGTTGTGCATACATCATTTTCCAGTCCTAAAGTTGCTATCTCCAAAAGGTGGCTGTCGTAGATTCTTTTATGCACAAGTTCTGGATTTTCTTTGATGACAGCAGATAAAATATTAGGATATCCTAATTTTGCGGCATAGTATGCCAAGCTTTCTTCATCGTAGCTCTTAAGAATTTTGTCTTTAAAATCATTGTAGCTAACAACTTGTCTTTCTAAGAACAGTTCTAGTGGATACAAACATTTCGATGCAACTGAATAGTCCAAGCAATCGAATTTAAACAGAACATCAGTCTCAGAAACACTCAAGTCTTTTATAAGACGTTTAATCATTTGCAGATACCAATCTTCCTCTTTGCTTATTTCTACAAGTGCGACTTGTACTTCAGGATATTTGATTCCATACGTACATACTAGATGTAGTCCACTTCGACCACCTTCATCTCTGATATTGATATTAGTAATATTATTTTCAAAGTAGTCGATACTTTTATAGATGATGGCAAGATGTAAAGGATTCTTTTCAGCCAACATTATGTCCAGCATCAGTCGTAAATTCTCATATTTGTTGGAAAAAATTTCTTCACGCAGAAGTAAGACTTTGTCTCGGTTGTTGTTTAACCACGAACAGGCGAAATATTCGGCAAAAGTTTGATGATAAAATACTGCCTCTCCGCTTTTAGTAACGTCTTTTATTATTCCATATTTATCACCATTCTCTTTGATTTCAGAAATATATTTATCCGTTTTCGTATTGTTTAAATGTAATTTCTCAAAATCGAAGTCATTTAAACAAGTTTTCAGAGCGAGAATTTCATACAAATTAAAAATAAAATCCATCAGTATGAATTGATGATCTTGATATTCCCCAGCAACTTTGAGCATGGCTGTTTTCAGTTTTCCGTCGAAAAATACCTTATACATTTGAGTTAAAACAAAGATACTTTGTTGTAGTGATTCGTAGGTTTCTTTACTCTTGAGAAATATTTCCGTCAGTATGTACAACTGCAATGGAATTCCGAGCAATTCTCGGCTGTTGTTAAGGTTCACATTATAAAAAACTGCAGTTTTAATTTTTTCAATCGCTTCAATTTCGTACGCATCTTTAAGTCTATCATCTATATATTTCTCTTGTTGCTCTCTTTCCAGTTCTAGAATTTCTACAGCCACGGCACGCAGATTTTGGAAAATTTGCTTGCGTAAATTTTCCCTTGAAGATATCCAAACCGATATATTTCGTGAACATAATTCTTTCACAAAATGGAAAACTGCACACACATATTCGGTCTTCATTTCATCTAATCCGTCGAGAAATACGTGAACTTTTCCTTTTTGCCATAACATATTTTTAATTTGGGTCACCAATAAATCGCTTGTAGGTACGTTTGTTTCCAATACAGTGGTCTCAATTGACTGAAAAGTCGGATTTGTCGATAGTAAAGAATGGTATTTGATCAAATCAACGTAGATTGCCCAACAATCATTTGGGCAAGTGTTGTGCAAACATTGCATCAAACGTGATTTGCCCATTCCTGGCGGAGCACACAAAACATTCGGAGAATTAGAAAAATAATCAAAAATTTTCGATTCTTCAATACAGATTTTTTGATGATCAGGTGGTAGATCGTTGTTTTTCTTGAACAATAACATGAAGCGGTCGTCATCAAGGACTTGAAGTAAGTAGATATTTCGTGCGTTCGATATCTTGCATATTTTATCAAATTCTACAGATGTACATCTATTACCTGTTGATAGTAGAACGAATCTGTCATGAGCTTGTATGTTTTCGTTAGAAAAATACGTAGGTAATTGTACGGTTTTTATACTGTTCATTCTAGGTAATAAATCTTGCAATTTTTCATGACAGTTGATTATTATCAGATTTTCTGGGGCATTATACAACTTAAGAAGATGTTTCTTGTTAAGTAAAACAGCAGATACTGAGCGTACTACATGTAAATCGTGCAGTTTTTTACCTTCCTCACCAATGAGAATATGTTGTTGGCGAGCCATTATAAACAAATGCTTTATTTTAATGAATTCTGCAATATTGGAATCAGTGTCAATCAGTTGTCTCAAAGATATACTTTCTCTTCCTTGTAGTGAAATTCTAAAATCATCCATAATGTGTAAGTAGTTTTCTTCATCACAGCACCTCTTCATCACATCAGCTAAGTTGGTAAAAACTTTCCACTTATCAGAGTCGATTCCTGTCGTATCCCCCACTAAAACAAGTTTTGTGGCACTGACTTTTTTTCGTAGCAGTGCAACGACGTCGTTAATTAGCATCACATTAGAGTCGTCCACCCTCAGAATAAGCGGAACTGTACCCAAATACCACAAAATAATTGATTTTTCTAGATCGGTGGGCTTGTAGTCGTTAACTTCCAAATTTATAAAGTGCGTTGACTTCCAGTCGAGCTCTTGGTGAATTTCGCCCCACATATTTTTAACTATCTCTTTTTCACTATTTTCTACCATCGTTATTTCAAACTGTATCATCATGTGTTTGAGCAGTTGTATTTTTTCGTTCATGGGCTTACTAGATATAGTTTCGATGAAAGGATATGTCGCTAGCGTCGCTAATTTGCCTAATATGTCGTCTTTTGTCAGAACGAAATTCTGGCACCACCAATCTTCCATATATTTCGTGAATGAGTCAAAGATATCGCAGTGCACCAGATCTTCTACTAAAGACTTGATGCGTTTTCTGACTGTTTCTATGCATGCTTGGTTTGAAAACAAATAAAACATTTCACAAGCATTTTTCAGTTGTTCTGTTTCGTCTCCACAGTTGCCGTCTACCTTAAATTGCCAAACACTTCTTGTATCTTCAGTATTTAAAAGCAAGTTGTCAAACTCAAAGCTTCTGGACTCCTCTGCTCTGAAAGAATACTTTTTAGAAGACAATTTGGAATCGCGTTCTATATTTGTTGGACTGTTCGTGTAAAGAATGAAAGTCGTGTTTTCCTTGGAATCGATTTCAGATATGCACTTTAAGTAACTTGGTAAATGAAACTTATTTTTTTCTTGTTTCTTTCCTTTTTGTATATATTCCTTCATCAACGTGTCGTTCGTGATTCGCTCTTTGTTGTATTTGTGTTTCAGTTGAAAAAGAAAAGTGTGTTGTTTACCACTGTTAAATGTAACTTCTATTCTAATATCATCAAAATTCCCCGAAATTTGGTCATTGGTAAATATTCTAAAATCGGTCACATCGTCGCTTGTGCTAAACTTCAAAGCGAAAAGAGCACATGTCAGATATTCGTATCCTCTGCCATAATCTACAGTGCCTTTTCTTTTTGAGTAGGTAGTCTCAGTTTGTGGTGTCACATTTTGCGATTGGTTCTGAAATATTTATACATTCATTAGGTGGATCTTTTTCATGCGAAATATATTTATGCCGCGTAAGTAAGAGATTGACTTACACTTACTGAATGCTTGTCACGTTTTGAGGAAATTGTCGACTGTTGCGGTTCAACAAGTCCCCTTTTACTGGATAAGTTGTTTTGAACTGACAGCTTACTCATGTTTTCGGACAGCTGTAATGTAAAATTTCGTAATCATTTTAAAGCGTCTTCCTATTTACTACCAAGCCATTAAACATAGACTTACTTTTGCGTCAACAATCTGTGAATTACAACACGCTGTTGAAGTTGATGAAATCGACTCATCAAGAAGTCCATGAGCTTCGCTCCGACTAGGTTTAGATGTATCCATTTACTATTTTTTCTTCTATGTTGGTGTTTAAATATCCAGTACAGAATCCAATATAGAAAATTCTGCTTGAGTTTTAGTTCGAATTAAAATTCTTCCCATGCCTGCGGAAATAAAAAAATACAAAAATTATGATTTATTTTTCTGCATTTCTCTCGAGTGCATTGCAATTTCTTTGGAAACCAAATGTTATAATCAGAAAATTATTGTTATCAAAATTGTGATTCACCTGATTATAAAATGTTCCAGAAAGCGACAAAATGGTCAAATCCACTAACTGAGTTTTTACTAAATTATTTTTAAATATTCATTGTTTATTTACTTACTTTTGTAATGTGGCAGGATATTCCAGAACGTTTGCAGGCATGCTTTAACTTGTGAACACAGGCACACTTGTGGAAATGTATGAAAAAAAATTGTAACAAATAAATAGAAATATATTTTTGTGTGATAAGCTGATAAGTGATAAGATACCGCACAACAGTGTTTACTAAAAATCATTTTTGTGCATCATGATAAACTCTTACCCCATCTACTTATCGATAGTCTGTTATCGTTGGTTCTAATCTAAATAATTAATGCTTGTTTTCAACACAATTTTAATACCCACTTTTTGCAATGTAATAAGTGCTTAATCCCTAGGGAGTTACAAAAATTTAAACTTTCGCTTCCTGAAAAGACGGGTAGCAACTCAGAAACATGAGGTATTTAATTCCTTGGTACATTACATACTATTAATACTTACTACATATTTTTGCTGCATAAGTTAATATTAATATTACAATTTTTGATACGATCGCTACACTCTCTAAATAGTTCAATTTTGGGAGGTTAAAGTTACTAGGAGATCTAGTGGCTGCGCTTGTAATGAGTGTATTTTTTGAAGTATTTGCCTCCGCTTCATCAACACAAGAAAAAATCTTCTTAGCAACTGATATTTTTTTTTAGGTAGCTGTCCGCAACAGTAGAAGACTTCCATCCACTGTGATTCTTTAAAGTTGGTAGATCTCCACCGCCGTCAACTAAAAATGACGCCGAGGATCGGCGGAAGCAATGTCTTGTGTATAGAGCAGAATCTGGTTCTGGTAAGTGTAAGAATTCAGCTATCAGCTTAGGAAACTTAGAGAACGTATTTTTTCCCACCGCCTGAACAGTGCATTTGTTACGCTTGTAATTAATAAAAAAATTATTGTGTGGCAAGCGAACTTCTGTGGTAAATTAAATAGTGCCAATAACATTATATTTTGTACATACTTAATAATAACATTGCGGGACACTAATCTCAGTTTGTGTATATTATTAGTGAATATTTCTTTTTCGTTGGGAAGCCGCTTTTTCCTGGATTGGTTTGCCTAGGTGCTGTAACCTTTGTGACCTCTTAGGGGTCGGTAAGTTATATTTTTAGGGTTCTTATTTAACGTAACCCCATTTTTCCTCCTTTAACAATATTAGTGATTCATTAGTGGATATCAGTATCTATAACATCTTATCGGAGAAAAAGTGTGACTGGAGCACTTTTTATTTATCGAAATCTGATTATTTTGTGTTTTACTTGTTGGTTCGGTGTTAATATTTTTATACTGAAATGGCAATCAAATACAACAAATGTAATCGGCAAATTACCAGAAGTGAGGATCACATAACACGTTCAGCTCAATGCGGTGGAAATTATCATTAATTTTGTGCCAATCTGGATGAGGACACTTTTAATCGCCTTAAAAAATCAAAGCAAATCAGTACTTGGTGTTGTAATCTTTGTGGAGTGAACAGAATTCAGGAACTGCCTCTAATGTCCTAGATTCTCTTACAAGTTCTTCTCTGTCGAAATCTTGTCTATATGTTACATAAAGTTTTTTCTATTCAATGTTGATCCTATTATGGTCCAACTAGGTACTTTGAATACTCAGGTTACAAAGTTAACTGCAGAAAATAAGTATTCAGTTCAAATCAAGTGATTAGAAACACATCTCAAACAGGTCTATGAAAACCTAATAAACAGCACTTGAATAATAAAAGGAGTTATGCGGGATCTCTTCGTGAAAAATCGGCTGAGTCTATAACAGTTAAGCCTAAAGACAAAAAACAATTGGTTACTAAAACAAAATCAGATGTTATTCGTTCTATTGATGCTTTGAATTCAACAGTTCAGATAGGCAAAGTAAAAAATCTAAAAGAAGGGGTTGTATTGTTGGGATGTAATGATGTCAGAGAGCTCAAAAAAATAACTAAAGAAAAATTGTCTCAGACTTATGAAATAAAGGAAGTGAAACCGCTTAAACCTATTACTAAGCAAAATGAGTTTATTTTTACTCCGGATTCTTACTGTAAAATTCTGAAAATATTTCCTATGAAAAAAAAAAATGGAAAGAATGAGTATTCGCAAGTACTGTTAGAGGTTGATTATGACACTTACAAGAAAGCATTTAACATTGGGCACTGTATAGTGGGTTTGGATGGTTGCAACATATATGATGCAGTTGAAATCAAAAGATGTTACCAGTGTAATGGATTTAACCATACATCCAAGACTTGCAAGAGTAAAGAGCCATCATGTCCTCGTTGTGCTGAATTACATTTGCTAAAAGACTGCAATGCTGTCGAATTAAAGTGCTTAAATCGTGCCGCTGTTAACCGCAAAAATCACAATGAAGATTTAAATGTTGGTCATGGTGTTTGGGAGTATCAGAAATGTATATCATATCAGCGAATGCTTGAAAAAATTAAACAAGATGTGTTTGTTGAAGTTCCATAGCAATTACAGTCTCCCAAGAAAAATTTTTGTCAAAGTACCATCAGAATGTTCGTGGTTTAAACTCCAAATTAACCCATTTTTTGAATTCAGTATCTTCTTGTGACTTTGACTTAATTGCTTTATCAGAAATATGGCTTCACAGTGGTGTTTTTGACAGTCAGCTTTTTAATAGTAATTATTTGGTGGTTCGAAAAGATAGACTTCTTGAATACCAATAAATCAAGGGGCGGAGGAGTACTCATTTGTATCAGATCTGATCTTATATTTTCAGAAGTGGACTTGTCCAGTACGCCTTTTTCTAATTTACATCTTGTTGATATTTTAGCAGTAAAAGTATCAATATCCTCTTTTTCCATAATTTTAGTACACTGCCTTTAGAATATTATCACCAAATATTTGATGTTTTTGTAATGCTAGATGCAGCATATAATTCTAATATAGTTATTGTGGGTGATTTCAATGTTCCCGAGTTTTTTGCATCTGCCGGTGGCCTGGTAAGTGGTAAAAGTTTTGCGCTTTTTTCTCTTATGGACACTCTGTGAAACAATGCAAAATATTCTTAATAAAAATAATCGATTATTATTTATTAGATCTGGTTCTAACTAATACATCTTGTTCTGTGCTAAAATCAGATGATCCACTGGTAAAGAAAGATCCAGTACGTACTTCTGTAATTGTATCTATATTATTAGTCAAAACTTCGTCAGATCATAATTCTGGCTTTATATTATAAATGTTACATCGGGTGTGCCGCAGGCTCTATCCTAGGCCCTCTTCTTTTCTTACTGTTTGTTGATGACATAACTGCTGAGTTGACTGTCAGCTATTCTCTTTATGCAGGCGATGTTAAAATATGATTTTAACACAAATATGGTAATTTGCTAATTAGCCATCTCATAAGAATTTAAGAATTAATGACAAAAAGGAGACACGGAAAACATGATTTATTTAATTTGTTTGAACAAAATTATGAAACTAATCTCTACCAAATTTACCTTTTAATATGTTCATATGATGGCACTTCTGAGTGCTTCACTTTCTCTGGTTTTATAATTTTATTATTTCATTGTCTGTTAAATAAGATGCTAAGCATGCCATTTTTTTTCTTCAGCAAGCTAGACGGATCACCAGACTCAATAATCATACCTTTATCTACAACCAATACTAAGTCAAAATCTAAAACGTAACGCAATTTGTGCATAATTGAAATGACGGTACATTCGCCAAAATTTTCCGTTATTATTTTTTGAATCAATGCTTCAGTATCGGAATCTACACTGGCATTACTTTCGTCTAAAATTACGATTTTGTTACGCCGAACCATAGTTCTACACAAACAAATGAGTTGTTTTTGACAGACGCTTAAGTTCATGTCAATTTTCTCGTCCAAACTTTGAAAAAATGACAAATTCACGGTTGCGATAGCTTTCCAAATGTCATTGTCTGAATGTTGTCCTGTAGGATCAATATTTTCACGTAACGTTCCTGAGAATATAGTAGGTTCCTGTGGAATTACAGATATTTTTGACCTGAGGAAATCCACCGGAAGTGTTTTGATGTCTATGTTGTCAATAAAAATGTTTCCTTCGAAATCATAAAGTCGGACGAGTGTAGAAATCAAAGATGTTTTTCCTGAACCAGTTCTGCCAACAATGGCTACCTTTTCTTTATTTTTGATGGCGAAGTTTAAATGTTTTAAAATATGATCTTGGTCGTTTTTGTAGGAAAGGTACACGTCTTTGAATCGTATTTCACATCCCTTTGGCCAATTTTCAATTACTAAACCATCTTTGTTTTCCTGCTTTTGTTTAGTGTATTCTAAAACTCTTTCTACTGTTACCATTTGATTCTCAAGAGTAGTCATCATACGGTATAGGAAATGCTGCGCATTTGTCAGATTAAATATTTGCGACAAGATAAGTCCAACTTTTGCTGCTGCCGTTTCTAAAAAATATTATTAGTTAAAGTTATTTAGTTTTCAGTATTTTAATTTACTGTCATTTAGTGTTAAAAAAAGGATTATTGCGAAAATAAGGAGAATAAATTGGTCGGCTCCTACCACAAAGTGAAATGCTTTCTCACAACATTTATACATGTAAGAAGAGGAAGCATACAAATCTTGGTGTTGGTCAAATTCTTTACGTAATGTGTCTTGAATTCTTGAGGTTCTTATGGTTGTTAGGCCATCTAAAGTTGAATTTATGTATCCAATTAGGGGACTTCGTGCTGTCATAATAAGAGTTATCATTTTAAAGAGTTTTGATAATATGCTTACTTAAGAATTCGAGTCGTTTTAGAGCGTTTCCTATCTTTAAGTAGAGCATTTGTACGAAAACTATTAATACAGTAATCAAAATACATGGAATTAGGAACGTTACATTAATGGTAGCCATCAGAATAATAATTCCAACTGTTGCGGCAAAATACTAAAATCCAGGAAAATTATAAGCCACATTATAATATTAAACTAAATATTTACACTCATTAGTTGAAAAAGCGTTAAGGGTACTATTTCATCAATGTACAGTATGTCTTCTGAAAATCTATTCAAAATAATTCCTATTCTATATTTGTCAAAGAATTCCATGAAACTGCGAACCACTTTGGAGAAAAGTAATTTGTGAAGCTTTAGTGAAGCTCTGGCAGCAAGCACCCAGAAAAAACATGCATTTAATAACATTAATATGGTCGTAGTTGAAATTATTATAGGCAGAAAAATTAACATCTGGTGACGTTTTTCATTTGCCTCAATAGAGATTTCCTTGTCTGTGGCATTGCTAAATAATACTTGCTCTGCATTTATCCTACAAGTGCAAGTCAATCAAAGGAAGTTGTCAAATTTCAGACTTACCAGATAGATTCCATTTTATTGATGGAACTTTTCAAAAACTGAATTATTCCAGTGAGAAGCAAAACTAAAACAATTTTGAACAAACCTCCATTAGCTTCAATATATTTTTTATAAGCATCGAAGTGTACTTTTCCTTGTACCTTTGTTTCTGTGTAGAGTTTTCTGGTCTCTTGGTTTGTTTTAATTAATGGAGTTTTATGGTCAAAATTTTCTTCTGCATTTGATTTGCTATTTATTTCGTCTTTTTGAATATATGTCATGTTTTTAGTGTCTGCGTTTTTTGGAGCTTTCGTGTGGATAGTGTGCGATATTTGCATTTTACCAGTCTTCACTGTTATGACCTTATCTGCACGATTGACAAACTTTATGGATTGAGTAACCAAAATCACTATTTTGTCCTTCAAAAAGTTTTTTATGCATTGTTCAAATACAAAATCAGCAACAATCGCATCCAAATTCGCCATACAATCATCTAGTAAATATATATCGCGTACTTTATAAACAGCTCGCGCTAAATTTATTCTAGCTTGTTGTCCTTTACTTAGATTAGCCCCTCCGTCGGTTATAATAGCCGAATCACCCTCACTTAAAGAACGCAATTCTTCAAGTAGAGCACAAACTCGCAGAACCTCTAAGTAACGATTTTCGTCGTAACTACTTCCAAATAAGATGTTCTGTTTGATGGTTGATGGAAAAAGCCAGGGTTCTTGGGATGCATAAGAAATACTCCCGACGACTTCTAACTCGCCTTCTATATTTTTGTATTCTTTAGTGAGAACTTTAAGCAGAAGGCTTTTTCCGGTTCCAACAGGTCCTGTTACCGCTGTTATTCCTTTTATAAAATTACAGTTTTTCAAATTTATTAGTGCATCGTTATGTGCAGTATGAACTTTCAAATTCATTTTAATTCTCGGTGTAAGCTTACTGCCTTCTAGGTTTAATAAATCTTTACTATTAATTCGAAGTGTATATCCAATTCGCTTAAAAACAGCAATCATTGTAGCTACTTCATGTATTGCTGTTGGAAAATTGTTTTTTACACCAAAAGCAATAATAGTTAGACTGTTCATTATAAGAAATAGTGTCCCAGCATTTGATTTGATCTTAAACCATATCGATATTGCTACAACTATGTACCACGACGTGTTGTGAATTGATTCAGAAAGTAGCAATTTTAGAAATAGCAGTATATTTATGTTGCGTATAAGATGAACTTCTTTACTATAAATAAAAAAAAAACACACAATTACTCGCTTATTTACCTCCTTACTTTCTGATTTTAGCAACTTTACTTTCATAGCTTTCTTCCCAAAGGTTCATTTTGATGACTTTTATTGCCCCTAATGTTTCTTTAATTAACTGATATCTTTCATCAGTTTTGCGTAAAGATTTCAATTTAAGTTTATTTACTGAAATTGCGATACATGCTGAAAAAATATAAAAGCTAACTGATTAACTTAGTTTTTGCCAGCTTACTGTTGATGAACATGATAATAAAAATTATCGTGGGGAGTATAAGAAATAACCAACCAATTTCTGAATATAGGACACAACATACTGCCACAAGCTTACATAGGTCTCTTATCGTGTTGGTTATTTTATATATGGCTTCTTCAAATTCGTTCACATCTCTGGTTATCAGATTTATCATATTGCCACTGTCAGCTAGTGACGGGTTAATTTTTAAAAGTTGTCTATAAATTAAAGATGTGAATCCAGTCCGCAGTTTAATGCCAAATTGTGAAAGCTTTAGCTGAAAATTGTATTGGTACACACGTCTGATAACCAGCACTAGAATCAACAGTACTCCATAAAAGCTCGCATCAGTTCGGCTTAGATTATTGTGGCCTGGTGCAAAATATGAAACGATTTTTTTTACAATTCTCGGTTGCAATAACCTAAAGAAATGATTAAAAGTTAGGTGAAATTATTACTACTTTATCGTAAATACGTTGTCGTCAGTGGGATGACCAAGCTGATTAATATTAAAACATATTGCCTACCAAAACATTTCCAAAGAAGTCTAGGTATAGATGTCTTATTTTCATCTATTTGTGTCTCCCACTCATTTTCTAATTTATCTCCTAATGTTTCTGACTTATGCGCTGGAAGCACTTCGTATATATCATTTTGAGTTAACTCGGTGTTATAGCCCTTGATGAAAGTGTCCTTTGTATATCTAGAATTTAAAATTACTCACATTGTCCAGGTTTTGTTTTTCGAGTTGATTGTTAACTAACAGAAAAAATAAATTCGAAAACCAGTTGCCTTTTTTCTCGGGATTAGTGGATTTTTTGTTTGGTTTGTAGTAGTCCATTTAAGTTTGATAATTAATACTTTCAATAGTTACTACTGTTTCCAAAAATGTATTGTTTAGCTCTACTGACGACAGTGTGAATATCATTTGACTAAAAACGTAGACCCATATCCAATGAGTGATAAGCTGATAACACTTAACCGTACTAAATACATTTTAATAGTAGAAAAGATAAAGAAATAAACAGTCGAATAAACAGTTTTAACGTCCCGTCATCCAAGTGGTTGCAAAATATGGCCCAAATTCTGATAAGGACTGCATCTGTGGTTTTCACACAAATTACATTATACAAGACATTTTAAAGTTTATATTCTTTATATTATCGTCATTATGGAAAACCGTTCATACAAATAGTACCGAGGACAAAGAAAAAACTTATCGTTAAATTAGTTGCTCGGCTGCACTGTAATTGTTCGAGTTGCTATCGCTTCTTTTTCAGGTGCAGTAAACACCTACATATATTTGTCGAGTACCCATTGCACATGTTGAGTATCGCTGGCAACCATTTATCGTGTATGAAACCGTGCGACCTTGATTGGCGTTCGAATACGACTGTGCACGACTATGAATGAAAACGGCAACGTTTATTCTTTAGCACATTTTTACGTTGAGGCGTTTATTAATTCCAATCATTGTAGCCGCATACGTCACAAAATAGATGATTTACAAATAAAAAATAGAGGGAATTAAGTCAAAGTATATTTGTCAGAAAACTTTATTTTTTTTTAGAATAATCGAAAAATTGTAGTATTAGATCGCACTCAGATGATTTGCTTCATTCACCTACATTTTTAATAAAGTGATTTCATATTCATGAACGTATCTGTAGAAATAGCCATTAACATTCTGTTGAAGTTCTTTTGGGGTCCCAAATTTCACAACACAACCATCATGTAAAACCAAGATGTTATCACAATTCATCACACTGTCCAATCCATGTGCTACTCTTAAAAAGCAAAAGCTTTTGGATGTAAGCTATACATACTTTATGTTGTGTACCGAAAGACCAAGCAATATGGATCCTGTTCGATAATAATCACAAACGCTGCTTATTGAAGATTAAAATTAATATTGATGTATAAAAACCACAAGGACTTCACATATCGAATTTATTTACATATATATATAATGGTGCGACCAAATTCCGGTGTGACGGACAGACGGTCCGGAATCTTGGCGATAACGTGTGATGGCGGCGTACGTGGGTGCCAAGTCTTGGGCCGACAAGTGTCGCTGACGTCTGGCCGATCTTCACGCCGCCGGGGGTGCGCCTTCGGTCAGGGGAGGAAGCGCCGGGGTGTGCTCTCAAGTCGGAGACACGGATTTCAGGTGGTGAGCGCCCGCGAAAACAAGATAATAAAATAAAACGGCACGAATTTTTTATACAATAAATAGGGTTTATTCCCGGCCACCAGCTACACGGCTACAATAACAAAATTTACGGCTAGGTTTTGAATAACTACAAAGCAAATTAAATAAACAAACAGAATAAAACGTGCGGCACGGTCGTTTCTCCTGGGCGGCGACTTCCTCCTGGACTTGGGGCCGGCGGTGACGACAAAAAGAACCCGGTTAGCGAAATCGTGGTCCTGAAACGATAGCTTCACATAAATTAACCATCATGCTTTTTTATTTTCCTTTTTTATATTATATACCTACACTGAGGCCCGAATGGAAGTAACCGAACCCAGGCTGTCACAGATTACTCTTTTACAGATATTGATAATTTTGAAATTATAAAGTTGTATAATAAATTTTAATAATTTGTGTATCAAGCCCAGAAAGAAGAACTTTTTCGGTCGATCTGAAAATTTTTTCATTGTTGGAAGGAAAGTGCAGATATGATATAAACCAAAGTGATTCGTTGCTCCTCTCCATATAAGTAAAATCTGTCCAAAAAGCATTAGAACCGTCCAGAGCTTGATGCACAATGTTGATGCATTTGATCGAATTATAACAATTTTGATGGCGTTCAAATTTTGACAAAGAGTATTTTTGGGCTCTTGATATTTTGATGGTTTATAATCCGTCAAAGGAAGCAACCACATGAGTATAAATTTGACTTTTACTTAAAAGCTCTAATTAGTGAAAGATGTGCTCCTATATATTTGGTATAAGTTCACGTGTGGCAGCCATTTTCTTCAGTCTGTTAAGCACTAGCCGGAAAGCTTGCAAATAGCAATAAAAAATTATCAACAAAACAAGTGTCGGAAGAATCATGTAATAATTTACTGTAGTAACAACAAGACAGACACCTAACACAGTATAAGCTTGTCTTACGACTTGATACAAATTTTTGGGAATGGTCTCATCGATTGCACTCATATCACTAGAAATTCTATTAATAATTCGACCAGATACATGGTTGTCGAAAAACTACATAGACCTATACAGAATTTTCATTTTCTCTATAGAACATTTTATTTAGGTACATCCCACATACCTACATTTTAAAATTTTACAAATTTTGACTTACGTCCGTCTTGCTCTCATTGTGCGATATGCAGGAGTATCTTATTTTTAAAATTAATTGTAATATTTACTAATGTAAATTCTGGAGGTGAGGGTATCCTGATGATGGGGTCGATTATTCAATTATTTTGGTCAGCGTTTTGCCATCTGCACGATATTCGTAAGACACATGCACAATTTGACAACAATCGGTCCAGTATTTTCGGAGATTCTCTGTCTAATGAAAGTCCGGACGGACGGCAAATCAGACAGACAGGCAGTGAAACCGACGGAAACGGGAAACCTATGAATTGTCAAGAAAATATGAAAGTATCCAATCATTTAATGGCCTCGGTTACAATACTTCTTTAACCAACGCTCATAAAGAAGAAGTTTTCGTCAAAAGGAGAGTTATAGAGGCATTTATTAAGTACACTTATGCCTACAGAGAATTTTTGTCCGAATAACAATATATCACAAAGTCAAAAGCGCTTATAACATTTGTTAAATACGTTTTATTAATAAATAAGACAAACATTACTTCACAATAAAAGCTGCGTTATTTCAACTTAACACAAAATGAAAAGCAGAGTTTAGAAATTCTTTCTAAAATAATTTTCATGTAGAGGTCTGCATATTTAAAGAAGAATTTTCATATTCATGGACGTATCTGTAAAAATAACCATTAACGTTTTGTAGAAGTCCATTTGGGGTGCCAAATTCCACGGCACAACCATTATCTAAAACCAAAATCTTGTCCGAATGCATAACGCTGTCCAGTCTATGTGCAATTCTTAAAATCGTTGCTTTATGAAATCTCTTCTGAATTGTATTTTGAATCAATTTCTCCGTGTTTAAATCAAGAAAAGCAGTTGCTTCGTCAAGAACAATAATGGTGCATTTTTTTAAAATAGCTCTAACTAAACACATTAGCTGTTTCTGTCCCGCACTAAAATTGACCCCGCCTTCCGAAAGAGAATTGTTCAAACCAGAGGGTAAATCTGAAACAATGAGTTTCAGATTCACTTCTTCTAGAGCAGTCCATAGCTGGCAGTCCGTGAATTCTTTGAAAGGATCTAAATTTTCGCGTATGGTTCCTGAGAAAAGAACAGGATTTTGAGGAACAGTCGCTATTCGAGATCTCAGAGTGCCAAGAGGAACCGTTTTTATATCGACGTTGTCTATTAAGATTGTTCCTTCGAATTCGTACAAGTGAAAGAGCGCATTTATCAAAGATGATTTTCCGGCACCAGTTCTTCCAACGATTCCAATTTTTTCACCAGCTTGAAATTCGAGATAGATGTTCCTAAGGACAGACGGCTTTTCCGGAGAATATCGCATGGAAACCGATTGAAATAGTATTTGGCCTTCTGCAGGCCATGCGGCAGGAGGGTTAATTTCGCTTTTATTATTATCTTCAACTGTTAGGTCATCGTATTCCGCAACTCTTTCAACTGAAGTCATCTGTGTTTCAAGCTCACCATAAATCTTGACCATGTACTGTATCGCTGAAATCATTAAGAGCGATTCTGTAATGGATAAACCAACGTTTCCTACCATATCACCTAAAAAAGCTGCATAAGAATACCGTCAACAGTTAATAAATTACTTGCTTTTTTTGAAGATTATTAGAAAGAAAATAACAACAGCTACATACAACATGCAAGTGAAATCTGTCCAAAATGCATAAGAAGCGTGCAAAGCGTGATAGAGATATCTAATCGAGTTATAAGAATCTTGATAGCGTTCAAATTTTGACAAACAGTATTTTTGGGCTTCTGAAACTCTAATGGTTGTCAATCCGTCAATGGTAGCTACCACGTGAGTATAAATAGGGCTCTTACCTAAAAAAATGAAATCAATGGAAGATGTAGTCCCGATCTTTGCTACACGTTTACGTGTGGAGGCGATTCTCTTCAGTTTGTTAAGTACTGGCCGGAAAGCTTGCACATAGTAATAAAAAATTACCAACAAAACCAGTGTTGGTGCAATCATGTAATAATTTACTGCATTGACAACGACATAAATACCTAACACAGTACAAATTTGTCTTGCAGCTTGATACATATATTTCGGAATGGTCTCATCGATGGTACCCATATCACTAGAAATTCTATTAACAATTCGACCAGATGGATGATTGTCGAAAAACTTCATAGTTCCATACAGTATTTTGTTGAATAGCGTATCGTGTAACTTAACGGAGTACTTATTGCAGCATTCTACAAAGTTTAAAGAACCCATGTGAAACAAAAATACCATTATTAGGATAAATCCACTGTAAATGTACAAACATTTGACGTCGGAAAAGTATTGCAGCAGTGTTATGCTAAATTTAGTAGGATTTTGCCTCAGGTTGATCCAGAAAGACAAGAACACGTCTGAACCGTTCATAAAAACTTGACTTAAAATGAAAAGGAAGCACTGAAGATAGACGAAGAACTTGCTTCCATTGGCAAATAAATATGTTGTATATGTGTTGACTTCATCACTACCTCTGTGTTCTCTAGTTTCAATTTGGGCTTTATAATGTTTTTCAGAGGGTTTTGTCAGTGTTTTGTTACTGTTTTCTGGTATGTTATTTGGTGCCTCTTCTAATGTTTTATATCTTCCAGAAAACTTTACCGTCCCATCTTTTAGAACGTATACTCTGTCGGAATAGTTGAGAAATTTTAAATTGTCTGTTATTAGTACAACACTTTTGGTTTTTAGATATTGCAAAATACATTGAGTAAAAATTTGTTGAGCGACACATACATCCATCGCCGCTAGAGGATTATCTAAAAGATAGATGTCTGCATCTTTGTATATAGCTCGTGCCAAGTTAATTCTGGCTTTCTGGCCTCCACTTAACATAGCTCCTCTTTCTCCCACCAATGTTTTGTCTCCATGCGAAAAAAGAGATATGTCATACTTCAAAGCGCAAATGTTAAGAACATTCAAATACTTGTTCTTGTTAAAGGTTTCATTAAAAATGATGTTTTCTTGGATGGTTGCCGAAAACACCCATGGATTTTGGGATGCATAAGATATCAAACCATCCTGGGAGAGAATTCCGTCGACTATAAGTAGTTCTTGCAATATAGTTTGGAATAAAGAAGACTTTCCGCTCCCTGTGTCTCCGGTAACTGCTACTAGCTGACCACAATCAAGTTTGAAATTTACGTCTTTTATTGTCGCTCTTTTTGATGAGTTCCATTGAGCCGTTAAATTACGAGCATATATTTTACAACCTTGCATTTCTTCTGTTTTTTGTTTGCCAATAGCTGCTTCGTGATCCGATAGCAAAAATATTTCGATGCGGGTTATACACACTTTCACTTCTGATATTAAATTAACAGCAAAAGTTGCATGATGCACCGATGTTTTAAGTAAATTGTATATGTTTATAGACATAAAAATCAAATGTGGTTCTAAAGGAGTACCAGTCGTTGTTAAAACTAAAATAAATACGTAAACAGCTATTTTGTGAATGTACGTCACAATTGTAATGTTTTCGTTTGATATGTGATTCAGTTTTTTCACATGGGTAAGTTCACATCTAAAATTTAACAAGTTAATAACAGTGGCTTGAATAAAAAAAATTAAAACCTTCTAATTTTATTTATGAGCTCAGCGTAAGGCGTCTCCCAAGCATAGGTTTTGATTTCCCTCATTCTAAAAATAATATCGTTCATTATACGTATCCGATTGTCTCTTTCTCTAGTCACTTTTTGTCCTCGACCAACAGCTCTAGTGAAAAAAAAATCTGAAATATCGGTACATTACGTCCGAAGGAATGATAAGAAATATACTAACATTGAGAAAGTGAAAAAATAACCATTATTCCTAGTCCAACGACTCCTTGATAACTAGACAATGAAAGAAACAACAATGTTGCTACGATGATTTTCAAAATACCGTTCCACATGCGGTGAAAAAAACAAAAAACCGTTTCAAATTTGTCAACGTCGGTAGAGAACAAGTTTAGTATATGTGCTAAAGTATTCTGTTGTATAGTAGCTAATTTCGCACTTACAATCTTCCTATAAATTAAAGAGGAACAAGATGTACGAACTTTCAAACCAGTGCTGTAAGTTTCCAAATAATGGAACTGGAAACTTAGAACTCGAATTAAAATAGACAAAACCACGGCTAGTCCATAAATATATGCCTCCCTTGCCGTGAGTTTTTGGTTTTGTGAAAAATATTCCAATAGTTTACCCAGATATAGGGATTGAAGGAACCTGCAATAGTCCGAATTTTTAGTGCGGGACATAATCAAAGTGGGCTGAAAAATTTATATCTGTTATATATTCAGGAGAATTTACGGCAAGATTGAAAGAGTGTGTAACAGTATCATTTATATAACTTTTTTTTTTGTAGTACACAGTATCTCCTTATTCCAGTCTTTAATTTGTAAAAGCCGCACCATTCACCAGTAATTTAGAATCACGTATTTTGACGTCGTTATTAAGTACCAAACGAATGTCGACTAATAAATACGATAATCTATTTTTCGAAACTATTTTTAAAGGAAATTTGCGTTTTGCTTTCATTTTAAGTTTTCCATTACGCATTATGTAAACTTTGGTTTTATCAAATGTTTTGTTGGACTGCGTAATGGAGAATGCTTAGGATTATAAATATATATATTACGATTTCTTACTTGTAGGTATGATTTTATGCTTACATTGATAGTGAATCTGCTATACAAAAAAATAATCCACAAAGCACATATTTGATGCCTAAAAATTGTGCCAATGTTCTAGTCAAGGAAGGTTTTTTTCTTGAAATTTTTTCTTTATTCCATAGTGCTTCCAGTCTGTCTCCTGATAGTTGTGTCTCATGATCTCTTGTCGGTGTTATGAAGTCGTCGTCAGTTACTCCATTTTTCCAACATTTCAAAATTGTTTTCAGTTGCCAACTAAAATTTGAAGATACAATATAGCTAAACGGTGGAAAATCTATACCAGAACAAAAAATGAGACAAGAAATTTGCCTCGTCCTTGGGATGAATATTCTTCGGTGTATTATTAATTATAATCTTTTTTGTTTTCGGTGAATCCATTGAAAAATTATTCGTCTTGGTTTGGAAAACTAGTACTACTACTTACTAAAATGCTTTAATGTTTGTGTTTAGAATAGAAATCGAATAAAGCGGCCATTTAAGAAACGTTTATGTGACTATAAATTAAACTATAAGTGTAACCGCTATATACAGTGATTACATTTGCTACAAAGCTTTATTTAAATAACTCGTTGTCTTAATTATCCGGAAGATTTTAAACTGTATGAATGGCATTGGAGTTAACAAGCTTAATTTTTTATGTTATTTTTTCAATGATAACACTATCAGTGGTTAACTTTCTGTCACTTTTATATACGTAGGTGAAACATAACATTTTTGCGAACGCCCGTCCTAAGCTGAAATTTATGGCCTAGATACGCCATAATTTTTTTATAGATTTCTGGATCGTATCCGTGTAAATTTTATGTATTAGATTGAGTTTTTTTCTCAAAAAAAAGTAATTTTGCAATATTTATGTTTCGTAAACGCAATACTTATGTTTTTCGGTTTTGAATTTTTGGGGAATTTATTTTTGTTTAATATCCCCATTTTAGACACTTTTCATTCCTTGAGAGTAAATTAAAAGGCAGACATGCGTATACCGTAACGTTATGTCTGGACCAGTGTATAGTCAGGGGACCCAATGTGTTAAAGGTCTTACATTTTTCATGCCACATTTAAATTTTCCTCATTTAAAAAAAGTAAATTAAAAATTGAAATTTTTGTACTTAAAAACGGAATAAATTTAAGAAGAGCAGAGATAAGAGCACCTGTTTTTACTATCTATAGTTTACAATAATTTCATACAACATACTTAAGCATTAAATACAAAAGATACAAACAATAAAAAAATACAGAGAGTATATAATTCTTTTAAAAAATATAAATATAAGTTCAAACAATTCACAAGTATGTAAATAATGAACGTTTCTCCCGCTTATATTGTGTTATCTTGAATATATTAGGTAAAATAGTGAAGACTATTGAACTAAGTAGGTAATATTTTAATAGAAGGAATTACAAGACAACAGAATATTTCTACAATGTTAAACCAAAAAGTGGCAATTAGGGGTATTTAAAACATCGTTAAGGTATTTTACACTTTATTTACTATCGATACGCTGTATTCTATTTTACAGAATCATCGTGGTGTTCACCGGCATCATTTCGATTCCTTTTCGATGTGTAATCTAATGTAATGTTTAATGTATTTTTGTTGCCACTATTTCTAATGTTCACGTTTGTTCCATCAAAAATTAATGTGTCAACATGACACGCCAACTGAAGTGCCGTAGTCCATTGCTTGTTTTGTGCATTCATATATTAACGCTCATGTTGGTCCTTAATTTTTCAAAAGTCTAGGTTATTGGCGACTAAATCGCAATGCCCTCTTATTTTAGGACTTCCCAACAAATTTTTGACCAGTGAGACAAAACTGTAATAAAGAAACAGAAAGGTTTGGTGGGAAATACCTGAAAACATCATTTTTTGATGACTTTTCCTGAAGAGCTATATTTGCGAACTACATATAGCCATTTTAAATATGCTGCAAACTACTGCAACAATAGTAGTATTTAAAAGTGCAATCAAAGTCAATGCTGCATAAAATTTTATTCTTTATTGTTTCCTTGTGTAATGAATAAATGAATTGGGTGGAAACAAAAGCGCATATTCATCCCTGGACAGACAGGTTAAATAGTTATTAAATTTTTAAACAGCTCGTATATGTGGCATGATGATTTGCAAATTTTGTTTAAACATAATAATAAAATGGTCTAAGATAGGTGTATTGTGGTTATTTTTTGATATTTCTTTTGTTACGACTTAAGACAGTTCCCAGGACGATAGTCGAGGGAAGAATTGCAACAGGACTATTGTTACAAGAGTGTAAATTAATGGAGTTTGACAGCTTGTAGAGTAGAGTTATGTCTGATTGCGAGTCCCGATTTTTATTCCGTAGTTCGACTGGTTTCTGTTATTCATTAATCATTATTAGGCTTCGGATTTTAGGTCGTTAAAAAATAAATAAAAGGAGACATTTTTAGGCACAAAAATTGACGAATTAGGTTATAAAAATCTTGGTTTAGGTTAAAAACCTGGAGAAAAATATTTGCTCAACGAAAAAGAATACGTCAAAAAAATATATATTTAAAAAAAAACACTAAACAAAAGATTATAGAAACAAATATTAAATAAATAAACGATCTATAGTCCACTAATTCACTAATAAGAGTAATAAGTTATCGTAAAAAAATGGTGATAAAATTAAAGCAAGTCGCATTTAACAAAAAATAAAATATTAATTCAGGTATTTAAAATGAGTTACAAAAGCGAACTATATATTTCTCTAAATTTTCGATTGTAAATTTACACCTTTGATCGCTTAAAACACTTTTAAGTTTTGAAAACGTGCGTTCCACATCACAAGAAGTGATGGGTGCAAAATTAAATATTGAACAATCTACGTTTTCATTTATGTATGTATTGTTGGTAGCATTTCCATTACCGCAAATTACGTTATTTACTGAACATATAAAATCGTATCCTGGATTCTTTTTTAATAGAGAATTTAATTTTTGGAACGCCATTTCCCCCACCTTTCCTGGTGTGTTTTTTAAATATGTATACACTTTTTCCACAATTTCTATTGCATCAGCAATAATTTTAAAGTGAGTTTTAATGTACGAGAGTTCATTTTTAACGTTTGCTTTATTCAGGAATTCTTGAGTTTTTTAATGCTTTGTGCATCTGTGGCTTCAAATGACATTAAAACCTAAAAATATTCAATACAAGAATGATAGTAAAGAACCATTATATATTTATTGACTTGTTTTAAAACATCAGTGTTCTGCATAAAACAATGCTGCTTGAATCCAAGTGCCCCACCTGGTTAATGCAGGTTCAGGTGGGAGAGGTGTATTTGGTAAACTGTTTTTATAAAACTCTACTCTTGTTGGTGCTTTTGAAAAGATTTTCTTAACATTGCTAATTATCCCATTGACATCTGGATAATTCAGTCTAATTGTTTCAGACACTAAATGTAACCCATGTGCCATACATGTTAAGTGTGTTATATTTTCATAAAACACCTTCAAATTAGTAGCAGTTTTGATCATGTATGAAGCACCATCTGGTAGATGCCCTACATAAATCGGTGCAAAATTGCGTAAAATCATTGTCGGAACGAATGTTTAATAAAGGCTGTTTACTGGATTTATTCTCGTTCATTTTATTTGCATCGCCACTGCAGTGTTGTTCAAACAGTGATTTTTTTTCGCACTTAAACTAGGAAACAAAAATATGAATATAATTCAAGATTCAGTATTTTAAATGTTTCCTTACAACTTTTCCACACACTTTGCAGAATAACTCATTGTCTTTGGTTGAAGAACGAAATTGAAAAATAGTGTCCAAATTATTCCCTAACCATAATTTGATTTTACCTTCCATTGATGATTTTACCTTAGGGATTTTGAGGATTCTTTACTGTATGCACAAAAATCAAAACCGGCCCCAGCACACTCACTAACACGCAAAGACACTCAGTATCACTTACAATAAGCTTCTAAAATAAAATGCTTTTTCAGAGATTCACCTCTTTCCGGCTATAATCTAAATGAAATGCAGGCCAGCCATGTCAGTTGGCGACACCAACCCGTACCATTAAACTCAAGGGCGTTGTTTACAACCCATTTTTAAACAATCTGCCACCCAAAGCAATGAATTCACAGAAAATCTCTATCGTGCAAACACGTCCGCTTCGTTGGTTGTAGAATCTTATTTTAAGTCTTTTAAAATTTACAATTAGGTCGTTTAATTAACACTTTAGGTCTCTAACGGTAAATTAGGCATTTTAGGTAGTAATAAATGTGCGTTAAATAAACAGATTTTTTTAAATTTGGATTAATAAATAAGTTTCGCTGCAATGTCTGAAGTAGATATAAAAAGGCAAAAAACCAAAGATCCGAAGCCTATTCATTATTTGGGCAAATAATTTTCGAAAATGTAGAACTTATTACTCGTATTATACGAGTATGTTAGATATATGTTAAGCTTAACGTTATATTATAAGGTGCAGTTAAATTTAAATATTTAATGAATCATTTTCGTGTGCAATCACTTCATGAATTTTTGTTTTGAATTGTTAATGCACCTAACTTCCCCTCTATTTCCGTGTTCAATTTATAAATAGATATTTCGTAAGCCAAATAATCGATTATTTTTTCTATATATATAACTGCACGTCGTGTATTTCGTTTGTGTCTGTTTCCGTTTACTTTGTTAACGTTGTTCCGTAGATCATTATGAATTTAAACGAAACTCAACAAAAAGAATTATTTAATGCCAATTTTCAATATGGCCGTTGGTTGTCCTCTCCGCCAGCCGGCGAAGAAGTGGTCATATCTGGCATGTCTGGTCGTTTTCCTGATTGTGATAATGTTTGCGAATTACGAGACAATCTATTTAACAAAACAGACATGGTTACTGAAAATGAAAAAAGATGGAAAGTCGATAATTGCGATTTACCGAAACGAAGTGCTCACATTAATAATATTGACAAACTGGATGCTGGGTATTTTGGGTTACATTATCGTCAAGCTCATAATATAGATCCTGCCATGAGAGTTTTGATGGAAACGACCATAGAAGCTGTTATAGATGCTGGAGTAAATCCGTTGGAGTTGGAAGGAAGCAAAACTGGCGTATTCATCGGTTTTTCTCATTCAGAAGTGGCAAATATTGCCTTATTCGGCGGAAAGACTGAACCGCAAAAGTTTTCCATTACCGGGTAAGACAATTTTATTCACAAATTTCAAAAGTCATTAATTTATGTTTCTTAAAACATATATTATTTTTAATTTTCAAAAAGACTTGCTTTGAAGCTACAAAAATAGGAAACAGGTTGGTATTGTGAGTAAAATGAAAAATTAGCAATTCTTTATTTTTATACCTGTCTTCTAAATTACGCAAGCGTCGCTCTTCATAAATTCTCTTTTTGGTTCTGCATAACATTTTACACTTCTTCCTTTGCTGTTTATTTTTCGCCACTACCTCCGTACTATATGCGTTTCCCAATTTCAATAAACGTAGCTACGCTCTTTTTTGCATTTCCTTCCTACATTCCTCGTCAAACCAACTCGCTTTCTTTACCAGTCCTTCTTGTAGGATTTGTCTTTCCGCTTCTTTAATCGCTTCCTTAATGCTTTGCCATCTTTTCTACTGCGCTTCCATTTCCTCCCATTGTTCTTGCCAGCTGTTCTTCCAATTTCACCCTATACTTCATATTTTCCTCGTCGTTTTGTACCCAACTTGACATGTTGTATCGTCGTTGTTTAAATGTTACTTTCTTGGCACTATATGGTATGCCGTGTATTATTTTAATACCCACCAAATAGTGGTCTGAGTTTGTATCCGGCCCTCTGTATGTTCTTACATTTGTAATAATAATATAATAATACTTTATTTCCATAGACTACATACAGTGTGGAAAATCGTCAGAACATGAAAGACAATTAGATAAATAAATACAGACATCTGCTACACAAAATCTTTTACACAGTATAAACATCTAGTAACAAGATAGTCTCTTAATCTGTGCCTAAAGGCGTCAATAAATAAAAGATTTTTAATTTCGTTGGTTATTATACAAGTCAAGTCCTAAAGAACAAAGTGAATTTTTTGTAACGTTCAATTTTTTTGTAGGAACGTGGAATAAGTTCTTTTGTTTAGTGTTTTTGTCGTGGACTTCACTATTTTTAACATTTTTTTTTTATTTTTATGTACGTACATACAACATTCAAAAACATACAAGGACGGTACAGTCATTAAATTATATTTTTTGAAAAGTTCGCGGCATGACATCTTGTGCAGATGGAGACATACCCCAAAAACAGATGCCATATCTTAAACCGGACTCTAGTTGTCCATAGTAAATCATTAACAAGTGGTTCAAATCCAACAAAGACCTAACATTTCTAATCAAACAGCATACTTTTGAAAGCTGACCGATAAGTTGATTGCAATGTAAAGTCCAATTCAGTTTATCATCTAAAGTTAGTCCTAAGAATTTTACAGTATTTGTTTTATCTAAAATCGTATTATTAAGCATTATTCTTACGTCATTTATGTCAGCTTTTACATTATGTTGATGGAATCTGAGATATTTGGTTTTTGTTCCATTTAAATACAGGCTGTTGGAGTTAAAATAGTTGGACATATTTTTAGTGGTATTGTCACATTTAAGTTGCAGTTCGTGAGAGAATCTGTCAGAAATGATTATTGTGGCATCGTCAGCATAAAGTGTAGTATTTACACTACTTTCAAGATTGTGGTTTAAATCATTGATATAGCATATAAATAATGTTGGCCCTAATATGGACCCTTGAGGGACTCCAAGACTTACTTCCATAATATTTGAAAATGCATTTTTTGTTGAATTAGTATTTGTGTCAAAATATTTGTACGCTACATACTGTGTTCGTTTTAGTAGATACGATTGTATCCATTCTAACGGAACGCCGCGAATGCCGTAATTTTCCAGTTTATTTAAAAGACGCTTATGACAGATAGTATCAAAAGCCTTAGTTAAATCACAGAAAATTCCAATTGGGTACTCCTTTTTCGCTAAACAGGATAGAATGTGGTCATAAAAATGATTTAGGGCGTGAAATGTCGATGTATTAGGCCTGAAACCGAACTGATTTTTTGTTAAAATATTGTTACGTTCAAGGTGTGTTTGCAATCGCGATTGAAAGCAGTATTGGTATATTTTTGAAAAGCTGGATGTTAGTGCTATCGGTCTGTAATTATTCATGTCTGAAGAATTATCTTTTTTATGAAGTGGTATGACTTTATTAAGTTTTATTTTTTCGGGAAAACAGCCAGTTTCAAATGACAAGTTGACCAGGTACGTAAATTGCGAACTTAATATGGGGACTGTTTTTTTTTAATAAAAATCCAGGCACATCGTCAAAACCGCCAGAGCCTTTTGCATGAAGCCTAGCCAAAAGCAGACTTGACAATTCGCTGACGGTGAACGGTGTCAAAAATAAATTTTTGCAGTCTCTGAAACTTAGAGTGTTTGAAGGATCTGAACTCTTTATCTGATTTACTATGTTTCTCGGTGCATTGACAAAAAAAGAGTTAAATGCATCTGCAATATTGTGCGCATTTTGTATTACTTGGTTATCCAAGTTTAACTTAATGTTACTAGGAGGCTGTTTTTGCTGGTTTGTTACCGCATTGAAGATGCCCCAAGCAGTCTTTGTTATGTTATCCGATTTATCAAGTTTATTTTGATAAAATTTTCTTTTTGTTTGATTGATCAAAGCACAATGTTCCTCTTTAGCCAATTTATAGATCGGTTCTAGTTCACTAAAAGATTTTTGTAGCATAAATAAATCTCTTAGTTTTGTACTGGACAATTTGACCTCGTTATTTAACCAGAATTTTCCTTCCCGAGCATTAATTTTTTTAAAAGGAAAATGTTGTTCGAAATAGTTTATAAAAATTGTATGGAAGTAATAAAAAGCTTCGATACTGTCCTTATATGTGTACAAAGGTGTCCAGTTTTCATAATAAATATCCCTTAAGAAGTTTTGAATTTTCAAATCGTCATATATGCGAGTGAATCACTTTGTAATTTTATCAAATCAGTTTGAAAGTAAGCAATCCTATGGTCCGACAAAACAGTATCCTGAATACAGCAAAAATCAGAGTTACTAAGATTGGTGAAAAGATGATCAAGTGTATTAATACCTCTAGTGGGACGATTAACTTTATTTCTAAGACCAAATGACGCAAAAATTTGATTTAAATACTCAAATTGTTTTTTATCTCGTTTTGGATCAATATTAAAGTCACCGCAAAGTATAAAATAATTATTTCTTTTAAAGTATAAATCTAAGATAATACCAATATTATTGTAAAACATTTGAATATCGCTGTCAGGAGACCTGTAACAAGTAAATAAGAATATTTTTTTCTCTCCAAAGGACCAAGATATTCCACAAATTTCAAAATGTTTTTCAACGCAATGCTCTGATAAATTTAAATTTAGCCCATTAACCGACAAGTTAGTAGCACACCAAATACCAACACCACCACCCTTGCAATTTTTCCTGGAGAATGATGCTACCAGTTTATACCTCTGGATATGTACTGCTTCTACGTTGGTAACAGTGCACCAGGTTTCAGTAAGACACAAAAATTTTATCTTATCATATTCTTGGAGAATATCCGTATATTATATGTCACAGTTATTTGCTGTGATGGCTTGACAGTTTAATAAGTTTTTGCGCTGTTCGAAAAAATTTAAATTGTTTAACCACAATACCATTGGGTCAGCAATTTGGGTCGTACAATGTTTGTATTAGGTCTGTATGATAATCAACGCTCAACCTAAAGGAAGCATTGGATCCTTTCGATGATAGTTTTTCCACTTCGAACATGTAGCCAAAGTTTCCGAGAGGTTGCCTTAAAATTTGTGGCATTTTCGAGCGTCCCTCGTATATTTGCAGTTTTCTTTGCATCCTTTCTAGTGTTTATCGGTTTTGTCGACTTGATAAGGTTCTTCTTTTGCTCATTGTTTGTGGAGGTTTTTTGAGGTTTTTCTGCTTGTTTATCTATTGGAATCGAGATAATCGTATCATCTGATGTCTCCAGGTCGCTCATGTCGTCTTCTATTTCTTTATTTGGACCACTCTTCTCGCATGATATTTCGCACTTACAGTGTCTCGTTTGCAGTAATAATAGTAGTTGCTGATTTGTAACACTCATATCACTTAGTCGGTCTTCTAATTCGGTGATTTTCTTCAATAAAATGTTGTTTTCAGCCTTTACTGTGTCCGAAATTATTTTTGTTATATCGTTTACATTAAAATTAATGTCGTCACCACTTTCTTTACTATTTTTCTTCGGCGGCATGATTGAGTAATGTAATAATAATAAACTTGTTAAAATCGAGAGCGATGTGCACCGTGGCTAGCGCCTACCACATGTATAATGCAGTGGCGGCTCGTGGTGATTTTTGATGGGTGGGCAAAGCATTATAGGTAGGTTATAACATGTATGAAAAAAATATATATACATATATATAATTAATCATTTTTGCGAAAACGTGTTTTTGTTTTGGTACTGCATGTCAATCAATATAATAAGTATAACAAATATTTTATGTATATTACATATATATTATTTTATAAATGTTACTTACAATGTCGGTCAGCAAGAACCAAAGAGAACGTCGAAGACTCTTGCTAGAAGAGGAAAGAGGAGCAAAAAAAAGGTTCAGCACATAAATAGATTTGTTAGGTGTTTATAGAACTATAAACTCAAATAATGATCCCAACATGTAAAGATTTTGAAATAACATGATGAGAAAACATTAAATTTTAAACCTTTGAGATAAGCTACACTTAGAAAAAGCAGCAATTTGGAAAATTATTATAAAAGCAAAATTAAAAATGCCAAATGAAACAAAAAATAAATTCTCAAAATACTAACAAAGTTAACAATAACAAATAAAATAAAAATAATTCCAAAATAATCGTTCTGAAGACCACTAATTACCAAAGACTCCTCCAAAAAACTTTTTAAATTTATCATCGAATTTACTTTAAGAGAAATTTGCGATTCATCTTGTCCCCGAAATGTATGTTTTTGTGTAGCCAAGAAAATTATCATATCGAATAAACGCCGAATTTAAGAGAATTTTCTATAGTTTAACTTCGTTTTCCAAGTAATTTTCGTTTATTCAGATTGGTCATGTTTTTGTAAAGCAGTAGCAATATATTTTATATCGCTCTTCTTGTGGAATTTTAAAGTGTTAGTAATTTAATTTTAAGTTAAATAGCAGATAATTCCAACAGTTTTGTTTGTTGTTTCACTACCGATCAACCAATAGGAAGGTAATATTTATTGTCCGAACTTTGATTAAAGCCTTTATTACTGCCACGAGAGTTTGTGATGACCAATTGTTTCATTTCGGGACATGATCTTAATTTATAAACAAATAATTCATAAATATCAAGTTCCATACTACTGAATTTATTTATTAAAAACAAAAACTCAATGTCTTTAATGCCTTCTTTACCACCTCTCTAATATTATTTGCACAGCTTACAGTAGGATTTGCCATTAAAAAAAATTGCTAGAAAGTACCTACTTTGGTACCCGCCTAACTATTTGGTAATTTGAATAAGCTACATTTTATAATTAAATGCACTATCCACAATGCAGTTTCTGATCTGACTGAATTCAATTGAGTCGTGTCTCCGACGAGGACGAACCATGCCGAGTGCTTCCGATTTTCAGGGTGGATTTGCCCACCCATGCTAGAGCGAACGCTTAACAAACCTGTGCGGACAGTTTGAATTAAATAATAAATTAAGCGTATATTTAACTTTTGTTGACTCTGCTACAGTTATATTTATGAAACAAAAATGCATATGTAATAATAAAAAAATACACATGTCAGATACATACTGCAATAATAAATGTATTACTTATTCTCATCATTGGTTATTCGGATTTTTAAATTTATAATTCATTAAAAAGTTTACACGGTGTCATAATACAAGAACATGGTTATTACAAATTTTCATTTGATATGAAAAAGTATTTATTAATTATTATGGTGTTGCTCTTTTCTATAACAATAGTATTCAATAATTTTCGCATAACATTATTTTCCTTACTATCTTACCCATATTTCAATAGAGTAATAAAAATAATTACCTCTATACTTTTACAATACAGAAGAAGTAAAAAAATCGAAATAAATTTATTGAATCCTTGAATCGAATATCGAGAGATCCGATTCTGCAGCGTTTGAGATATACGTTGAGGCCAGGGCGTCCTGCCCCGCTTGAAGCAAGAAAACACGGATATGCAAAGACGCGCGTTTCGAATTCTTTACTCTCAATTACGTACATAGAAAACCGAACGTATGTCGTTGCTTACAATCAAGAGGATGGACCAGGGTGGACTAGCCCATCCTCACATGAACCGTATAACGCCGAGATCTGACGCACTTTTTTACAACTGCAATTTCTCAGTTGCGGAAACTGCGGGATGTAATAAAGAAAATCCGTTGGCTTAAATGATGTTTATGACGATAATTATTTGTGTATACATATAAAAGAATTTAAAAAAGAAAAAAAATCAATATTTTACTTCGTATCGTAAACAATCAAATAGGGTGGGCATTGCCCACCCTGCCCACCCCGAGGAGCCGCCACTGGTATAATGCATCTCTCGTTCCTACCATCCATTAAAACATGGTCTATTTGATTTAGGTACTACTCTACCATCTGGACTTCTCCAAGTACCTTTATAAATTTCTTTACGCGGAAAAAAAGTACTTTTCACCTTCATGGCTCTGCTTGTTGCAAATGAAATTAATAACTTTCCATTTTCATTACTCACTTGGTGCTTGCTAAAATTACCTATTGTCGATCTGTACATTGGCTCTTTACCAATCTGCGCATTCGCGTCCCCTAAGACTACTTTCGCATCATATTTTGGGATCGGCTCATATTCTATCTCTAGTTGGCTATAAAATTCCTCCTTTTTTCCCATCTGCATGACCTCCGTTGGCGCATGAATATTTATAAAACTAATTTTTTGATATTTACCCCTCATTCTGAGCATACACATTCTGTCTGAAACTGCCTTGAATTCCACTATTGCAGGCTTGAGCCTTACATGGACTAGGAAACCTATGCCTAGCCTTGTATTGTCACCTCCACTACAGAACAAAATATAATTCCCTATTTGCTTTACTTCACAACTCTTTAGTTTAGTCTCCTGTAGCGCCAAGATATCCAGTTTACGCATATTGACCTGATTGATTAGATTCTCTACTCCCCGTTCCTCATATATACCTCTCACATTCCATGTCCCCACAAACAATCCTCTCTCCTTATTTTTTACTTGCACCCTTCGCTTTTTTGTTTCTCTTCGTTTTTGGTTAACCTTTTCCATTGTCCGTGTCTTAGCCATTGCCATCATATTTGTTTCTCCCACTGTTTCGACTGCTACTAGTTTTTTGCTCGTTCGTCCATCTTCTCCCTTACTAATACTTCATCTACTGGGTTCCATTTCCAACCTTCCCCATCAATTATTATCTTCTGGTACATGACTTTCGCTGTTTTCCTCATCGCCCTGTTTTCTCTTGCTATTCATTTCAGCTTCCATTGTGTTTCTCTCTCCATACTCGTCATATCGTCCTCGATAAACTTCTTACTACCCTTCAAGTTTTTCTTATTCTTCATTATCAACATTTTCTCTTGCCAGTTGTTGGCTTTGGCTATTATTAAAGGATTTGCCTTCTGGGTTTGTACTTGATATACGCTTTCAAGGCCAACTTCGACTCCTACTTGGTTTTTTAGAAACTCCTCTTCCTTTTCTTTTATGTTCGTCTCATCCGTTTCCAGTCCTTTAATAACAATATTATTTTTCCTTTCTTTTTTCTCTATTATTTCCGTTCCAGCGCTAATAGCTTCTCTCTCATTTTAGCATTTTCTTCTCTTATACTTCTGATCTCTTCTTGGTACGCTTTTTGGTCTGTTTTGATATCCTTTACGTCCTGCATGACAGTTTTTAACATGCTCTTCAACTCTTCCATATCGTTCTCGATGCTTATTTTCTTCGTGTGTGTTCTTTGTGCTTTTTTACTTGGTCTGGTCTCCCTCGGGCTGTACTCTCTCTTCCTCTTCCCGTCTTCTGTTGAATAATCGTCTGTGTCGCAGTCCGACATTTATTTCCAACAATCAAGTTCGTAAGCGTGTATTCTGTGTTACCTATTTGTGGAAAGGCTAGCTCTCAAAAAAACTTATCTCTCTTTTTATCACCACAGCGGAGATAATTGTGACTAACCTTAAATCGCTTGTCCAGCCAATTTTTGGGTGTTCCTTCTGGTTGTCGTTCTTTCCTGCTCTCCCCCAATCTTCAACACCTTACTATCGTAGTCTACTCCAAAATTCGTGTGTGTAACCGTCGTAATCTCCTGTTACAACAAGTTTAATTACGGAGCGCTATTCACACACCTGTTTACAAGCAAAACTCAAAATCGCTCAAAATTGAGTTTTAGTATATTATTATCAGATATTAACATCATTCTTTAAAGTACGTCTTCATTTTTTATCCGTAGTGCAATGTACACACATGTTAGGGAGATTTCTCAAAAAACTAATTAGTAAAACAAATTTATTTTACTCTTCGAATCAAACAATTCGGTTGTTATGAGTACTGTACTTAATTAAAAAAAAAATCAAGATGATTGGAGCTGGAGAAAATATTTGCTTGAATCGTTTTAAACAAAATATCAGAAACCTAAATCTTGTACAAAATTAATAGTGCAGTTAGTACCTTATACAATATACTTAATTTCTATTTATAATGGTATTTCTTTCAGCTTTCTCACATCTTTGCTTGCTCATCGTCTGAGTTATTATTTGAAATTAAAAGGACCATCATTCGCTATTGATACGGCTTGTAGCAGCTCTGGAAATGCTCTTCATTCAGCTTTTAAATTCATGAGAAGTGGTGAATGTGAAAATGCAATTGTCGCTGGTTGTAATTTAACCATTCATCCTAGAGGCACAATGCAATATTTTCGGTACAATTATTATTTATACACGATAATAATTTCCTTTTTACAACAATACATTTGTAGCCTGGGAGCTTTAAGTCCGGACGGAGTATCCAGAGTATTCGATCAGGATGCAAACGGTTACGTTAGAAGTGAGGCTGGCGTATGTATTTTGCTTCAAAAGTCTAAAAATGCGAAACGAATTTACGCACAAATTATTAATACGAAAGTGAACTCAGACGGTTTTAAAAAAGAAGGGATAACACATCCTTCATCGTTAACGCAAGAAGAGCTTTTGACTGAAATATATCGAGAAAGTAATATTAATCCTTCACAAGTGAGATATTTCGAAGCACATAGTACTGGTACTCGAGCTGGGGATCCTGAAGAAATTAGTGCTGTAGACAGGGCTCTGGCGAAAAAAAATGGAAAACAGCTTCTCATAGGTTCAGTAAAATCAAATATAGGTCATACAGAACCTGTATCAGGTCTGTGTTCGATTATAAAAGTATTAATTGCAATGGAAACAGGATTTATACCACCTAATATCAACCTCAAAAGGGTCCGAGAAGGACTGGAAGGGATAAAGCAACAACGCATAAAAATTGTGACAGAAGCTACTGAGCTTTTAGACAATGATGCGATTATAGGCGTTAACAACTTTGGTTTCGGAGGTAGCAACTGTCATGTGATATTGCAGAGGTTTAAAAAGCAAAAAATCGATGGTGGACTGCCGAAAGATGATCTTCCTAGATTAATTTGTGTCAGTGGTCGTACTAATGAAGCAGTTTTGAAAATTTTAAACGACGTTAGTAACAAAAGTTTGGATGAAGAATACGTCGGTCTTCTCCATCAGTTATATAAAATTAACAACCCAAATCATTTACATCGAGGATATGCAGTTGTTTCCAAACGCGGTATTGTATCAATGTCATCAAAATTATTGCCTTTACAGAAACCACATCTTTACGTATTTTTTGGACAATTCGTCACTAATTTCCGCAAACTGGCTTCTTATTTGAAGAAATTTTCGATTTTCGAATGCATCGAATCAAGGTATGTTAAGATTTTATTTGTGTGTTCCTAATGAAGAAATTCTTTTCTTGGTGAAGGATTAATCAAATTTTGGTGTTCAACAAAGTGAAAGCTCTTAAAGAAATTTTAGAATCTCAAACAAAAGTAAATGAAGACGCATTGGGGTCAATATGTTTGCAACTGATATTGGTAGATGTTATAAAAGAGTTGGAATTGTGTCCTACTGGCATTTTCGGTGACACTTGTGGTACAATCGTTAGTGCTTATTATCACAACGTGATCAAGCTGGAAGAGGCCGTGTTGGCAGCGATCGAGCTTGGTAAAGTAAATTTTGTTTCTAATATGAATTTCCAAACATCAGCGAAATTATTGGATTCAAAAGATAAAGAGTCAATGAAAAAGGTTTACTTAAACTACGAAGATTTTATTAAACCGTCGAAAGGCACAATAATATTAAATTTATCCGATCGGGAGCTCAGTGGTGAAAACAATTTACTAGTACAAGATGGCACCGGCAATTTACTCGGTCTGTTTGGAAGGTAAGAAGTGAACACCAAAGAAATTTAAAGATCATAAAATAAATTTGTAGATTGTATACAGAAGGGTATCTTCCCCAAATTCATAAACTGTATCCTCAAATACAATTTCCAGTCAGTAGAGGCACCTCCATGATTTCACCTTCGATTCAATGGAATCACGAAAAATCATGGTATACATATAAATTTACCAAATATACATTATCGGATGCTGAGCAGAGGGAATATAGTATTTCACTTTCAAAGGACGAACATCAGTTTATGAAAGGCCATTGCATCGATGGTAATATACTCGTATTTAAACTAGCACTAAAGAGGATACCATATTATCGAGAAAAAAATTGTCTAGTAACTTTTGGTGGCTCAACAAACTAATAAATGCATGAATTTATTTTATTGAATTAATCAGGAACTGCAAAAGTGAATGCTTTGAAATCTTGAAAATGTTTCGAGTTATTTTAATCATGATAACTTTCTGATCAAAATTTAGTTGTTCATCCTACCTAAAAAATTAATGTCGTCGCATCAAAATATTGCTGAATAAATCTTAAATGTGCAATGTATGATGATTCTATACTTGTGGTTTATCAATGCATTCATATTTTCAAACGATACATTAAAAATGATGTCAAAAATGTCAAACAAATAACTGCAAAGGCAATATTTATATTTTAAAAATAAATTTCGTGGCCTACTAGAAGACTTTTTTTCGGTCATATGGTCTTAACATTAAAAACAACGTTTTCAGGACGTAACCTTGTTCCTGCTACCGAATATTTAAATTTAGTGTGGCAATCATACGCAGAATCTCGAGGATTTTTAGCCGTCGATATTCTTGTATTATTTGAAAATTGTAAGTTTATCAAAGCCGTTACATTACCTAAGAGTGGTTACGTAAAATTACTTGTAACGGTTCAAAGAGGCACAGGCAACTTTGAAATTCTCGAGAAAGGTTCGTTAATAGTTAGTGGCCGTATCAGACTTTGTCCAAATGCAAGCCAACAAGTTATCCTAGCAAAATTTGATTCTTTGAGTGACGATAAACGAAAAATATTGGAACAAGACGATATCTATCGAGAATTTAACCTAAGAGGTTACAATTACAGGTCGGTTTCATTCCAACAAGATACAGCTTGTTGTATCTAGTTTTTTAGTGGTTTATTCAAATCAATTAAACGATGCAATGTAGACGCTTCTGCCGGTCTGATTAAATGGAAGGACAACTGGTGTGCTTTTATGGATAATATGCTTCAAATGAATATTCTTCAGTCTGACACAAGGTTGCTTTTCGTTCCTACTGGCATTAAGAAAATCATTATAGATCCCTTAAGGCACATACAAATCGTGAACGAACAGGATGGAGAAGAATGTCTTCTACCTGTTTATGTGAATAAGACTTGCAACTTGATCAAGTAACTATATAAACTATTTACTAGATTGCAGTTAAACAAAGAGCTTGGTCTTGTTTAGGTCTGGTGGAATTGAAATACACGGAATTCAAGTAAAATCTATTTTCAAGAAAAAAATGCGATTGGAACCAGTTCTGGAAAAGAACGTATTCATCTCAAATATTTCATCGTTAGGATTAGAAGAAGCAGTAATAGTCAACACTCAAATTATCTTAGAAAATAGTTTAGATAACAGATTTAAATCTGTGGAAATCATCAACGAATTCACGAATGTAAATAGTGAACACATCTTAGGTTTTGTCAATAAAATCTTAGAACGCATCCCTGGAGTAACTCCTGATCTAACCATTTCGTCAAAAACAACCATGGATGAAACACCTGGAATAAAATTCGAAACTGTTACTTTAACACCTGAAAGCAATATACATTTGTACGTTGGTAGTAAAATTCTACAACAAAGAAACACTTTAAAACAATTCTTCACGCCACTTAACAAAAACGGATTTATCCTAACACGTGAAGATATCAATTTCAGTTTAAAAAACGATATTACTGAAGTAGACGTTCTGACCGATTATTTAACACCAAACGAAAGAATAATTTTATTGCGAAGAAAAGTGGAAAACGTCAGACCCGAGTTTATTAAAGTATCTTCGAGTAATTTTGGCTGGATCCCAGAGTTACAAAACGCTTTAACTCTTAGGAAAGATGTTATAACATATGCAACAAATAGAGATCCCGATGGAATACTAGGTTTGATAAATTGCATCAGGCGAGAACCAAATGGAAATTTAGTTAAGTGTTTCTTCATGATGGACGATGCTCCGGAATTCGATCCTCACCATTCGTTCTACGGTGAACAAATTAGTAAAAATTTGGCTGTAAACATTTATAAGGATAAATCGTGGGGAACATATCGATATTTGCTTTTGGAGGAAATACAAAAGATTGACTGTGAACATTCTTATGCAGATTTAAAAAGTAGAGGAGACATATCCAGTTTCGAATGGTTAGAGGGACATTTATCTGAAGAAGTACCACTAAAAGAAAGACAACTTTTGGTTTCAGTAAGTTATATATTATGTGGTTCTAACGAAATGATAACTGTTTGCAGACATGTTATTCATCAGTTAACTTTAAAGACATTATGGCCGCTTCTGGACGCGTAAATCTCGAAATATTACAACCGCATCGACTTGACCAAGAGATACTAATAGGATTTGAATTTTCCGGAAAAGATTTAAGGTGATGTTATTTATTTATTGGAAACAACAAACAAATACACACTATTTACAGTGGTCGTAGAATGTCTGCGATGACTAACGAACAGGGTATTTCATCCCATGTTACTTTCGATTCTTCCTTAATTTGGAAAATACCGGACTCATGGACACTTGAAGATGCAGCAACGATTCCCATTGTGTATTGCACTATTATTTATGCTCTTTTAATGGTACGCATATGGACAAAATTAATCTCCTTATAATCGTCTTTTTAAGGTTGGCGATCTGAAACCTGGTTCCACAATTCTTATTCACTCCGTCACTGGTGGTGTTGGACTAGCTGCCTTGAACATTTGCCTTCACTATAAATGCGAAATTTATGTAACCGTTGGCACTCAGGAAAAACGAACATATTTAAAAGAAAATTATCCACAAATTCCAGACAATCACATTGGAAATTCACGAGACACCTCATTTGAACAAATGATCAAAACAGAAACCCGAAATAAAGGGGTTGACATGATTTTGAACTCCCTAAGTGAGGATAAATTGCAGGCTTCGATTAGGTGTTTAGCACGAGGAGGAAAATTTATGGAAATTGGGAAATACGATTTGGCGACTAACAATTCTTTAAATCTTTTGTTCATGGAAAAAGAAGTTAGCTATCACGGTATATTGTTTGATGTCGTTTTTAGAAGCTTTACGGAAATGAAAGCTAAAGTGATGAAAGGTTTAATAGACGGAATTGGGGCAGGTTTTGTAAAACCACTTCCCAGGACTGTGTTCAGTGCAAATGAAATTGAAAAATCGTATAGATACATGATGACGGGTAAACATATTGGTAGAATACTGATCAAACTGCGGAATGAAGAAGAAGATAGTGTCGGTCCACTCCACATGATGTCAAATCCACGGTAAGTTGTCACTGAGAATAGGTACGTCAAAATTATGGTTTTTTAAGTTTCCATTGTGATGTGCGTTACACCTATATCGTTATTGGAGGGTTAGGTGGAGTTGGTTTAGAATTAAGCGACTGGTTGGTCTTGAGAGGTGCAAGAAAACTAGTATTAAGTTCGAGATCGGGTATTCAAACTGGTTATCATCAGCAAAGAATACAGTAAAATATAATCTCATCACCTAGTAAAGATACACACTAGCAATTCTAGTATTTGGACAACATACGGCGTCGAAGTTAAAATTTCTGTGAGAGACGTAACCACTGAGCGAGGATGTGAAGATTTAATCAATGAAGCGACTGAGCTTGGACCTGTCGATGCTATTTTTAACTTAGCTGTTGTTCTTAAAGATGCACTATTTGAAGATCAAACTCAAGAAACTTTCGAAACTTCATTAGCACCAAAAGCTCGCGCTACACTATATTTGGATCGAGTCACTAGGAAACTGTGCCCAAAACTAAGGTTTACGTACAACTTAAAAGTACCGGTTCATTCTGACGATATGTTTTAGGTATTTTGTCATATTTTCGTCACTATCTTGTGGTCGTGGAAATCCGGGTCAAAGCAACTATGGTATGGCAAATTCTGTTATGGAAAGAATATGTGAGAATCGAAAGCGAGAAGGATTACCAGCTGTGGCTATCCAATGGGGCGCAATCGGTGAAGTACGTAACACATTTTCAAAGGTTTCTTAAGGTTACAAATATTTTAAAGGTCGGTTTGGCGGCAAAAATGCAGAGGGAAAATAAAGAGTTAGTGTTTGGTGGTATCGTTCAACAAAAAATTTCCAGCTGTCTTGAGGTGCTAGATGTCCTGTTAAAACATAACTATCCGGTTGTTTCTAGTATGGTGGTTACCGAAAAACGACAGGAAGGTAACAGCCTTAGTGCAGCAGAAACGGTTGCTTATGTTTTGGGAATAAAAGACATGAAAACAGTAAGTCACAATACGACATTTGCGGAACTCGGTATGGATTCGATGATGGGTACAGAAATTGTTCAAGTTTTAGAGAAAGATTTTGAAATCTACGTGACATCCAAAGATGTGAGAAGTTTAACATTCGCAAAGTAATTATTATGTGTTTAACAAAGTGGTTTAATTTAGTGCTGAATTTCAGATTAACTGAAATGGAAGAAGGGAAATTCAAAAAATCTGTAGAAGTTTTAGACAAAAAAACAGAAGAAGGCGAAAATTTATTCATTGCGTATATTCCCAATCGCGAAACTGTTCATTTGCCTGCTATTAAATTAAATAGTCATATTGACTCACACCTAGAGGTTCCAACGGTTTTCGTGTTACCAGGAGTGGAAAGCATCTTCAAACCACTAGAATTTTTGATAAATTCATTAAAAGCTCATGTAGTTGGAGTACAGTACAACTATAACAATCCAGAGGATTCTATTGAAAGAACTGCACAAAACACACTGCCGGTTCTCTAAAATTTACATATTTTAAAGTTGATTAATTTTATATGCTTCTATTTTTAGCATATAGAAAGTTTTCTATCCAAAGACACATCCTTCTACATTATTGGATATTCATTTGGAACTCTAGTCGCTCTAGAAATGACCAGTTTGTTGGAAGAAAAGGGCTACACTGGTATTCTGATTTTAATCGATGGTTCACCAGCTTATTCATCTTCTTCTTTAAAAAAACACTTTCCGCATGAAACGGAAGCCCAATTTCAAACCGCCGTTTTGAGAAAAGTCTCTTCTCTTTTGATTCCATTGAACGTATTTTCGCAATATGAGGTAACTGGTAAACGACTATTTGTATTCATATTGTATTCACCGTGCGCAATCGTATCTTTTAGGAAATGCTGATGAAGTCTAATAACTTTGAAGAACAAATTGACTTATTTTTGTCTTTGTTACCTCCCAAAATAAGAGACGAAGTGAAATTAGAAAAACAAGCTGGCATTGCACTGTATAAACGTTGTAAAGCTATGCTTGACTATACATTTAAAAATAAGAAAATCCAATCGTCAGTACATCTGTTCAAAGCAAAGTATCCAATGGTTCATGAAACAGATGATTATCAATTATCAACAATATGCGATGATGTTGTACAAGTGACTACAGTAGATGGTGACCATGCAACAATTTTAAATAGCCCAGATCTTGTAAAAGCTGTTAGCGAAATAGTGGTACTGAAACAATAGTTTCACAAAAATTAATAATAAAAATAATATTATTAATATTAATAATAATAATAATAAGAACTTTCTAAAACCATTAATCCACTTCCTGAAGATATCAACAACACAGTACCAAATACATTACTGACTGACACATCTGTCACCAATTTGTCAAAAACAACATCTCAAAATAAGATCCCAATTATACCACAAAATAGTAATAGTAGTATATTAAATACACCAGAGACACGAACTGACAGATTTACTAAAGATTTATTAAACAAAACACCTCAAAATAAGATCACAACCGTAACACAAATTACCAACACATTAACTGACAAATCACTTAACAATTCATCAAGAACAATCCAAAACCAAATTAACATCACAGATAATCTACAAAACACGTACTACAACACAGAAGACACATTAATCAAAACTGTAAACAAAAATTTTAAATTTCACATTAATTTCCAAAATGAAATTGAAGACCAATTTAAATTAACTTTCGAAACATGTTCTAAATTAAAACCAAATGATAGACAATCACTTCCCCGCCAGTGTTATTCTAAAAAGTTTCTGGCAATTGTAGAAATAATGAACTCCTTCATTTTACCAAAATATCTCACAAACTCGATCTCTTTTGAAAAACTTCATACAATTATCTACTGTGCAGCTTTAACTTGTATTCAAATTAACACATGTAAAGATAACATAATAAATACAAACAACAATCGCATACCCTCCACCCCTCATTGGGAAACACGGTTAAATTATAAAATTAATAACATTAGAAAACAACTGGGTCAAATAACACAGTACCTTAGAGGAGTTAAAACACCACACATCATGACATGTATGCATTCGATACTGACCAACAATAATTTTCATCAAACTGATTACGATGAGTACAACACAACACTATCCGAAATTAAAGATACACTATTACAAAAGCTTTCCTTATATAGCAAAAGACTTAAAAGATACAAACAATCACATCTCAGAAAAATTCATAACACTAAATTTTTAAACAACGAAAAACTATTCTATCAACATTTAACTAATTCAAGCAAAACTCAATTATCCGGTGAACTACCAAGTTCACAAGATGTAACAACATTTTGGTCAAAACTTTGGTCTCAAGAATTTGAATTTAACCAATCTGCCAAATGGATTCCTCATATATATAATAAACTATCCACAGTTACACCAATGAATGATCATCAGATAACACTTGCCGAATTAATAAATACCATCAATAAGACACACAACTGGAAATCACCAGGACCAGACAAAATCCATAATTTTTGGATAAAAAAATTAAATTGTGTACATATTCATTTACTACATCACTTAAATCAGTTCCTTCTTGACCCATCCTCTTTTCCAACATTCTTATGTCATGGTGTAACATACTTAAAACCTAAAGATAACGACACAAAAAATCCATCAAAATACAGACCTATCACATGTTTACCGACAATCTATAAAATATTAACCTCATGCATTACACAAAAAATATATCAACACTGTTGTAACTCTGACATCATTAATGAAGAACAGAAAGGATGTATTAAAGGATCCTTTGGCTGCAAAGAGCAATTAATCATAGATTCCATCATCTGTGAACAAGCTAGAAAAGAAAACCGAAACATATATACTGCTTTTATTGATTATAAGAAAGCTTACGATTCTGTCCCTCATTCCTGGCTATGCAAAATTCTGGAATTATACAAGATTGATACTAAAATCTGCACTTTTCTCAAATGTTCCATGGAATTTTGGAAGACCACCCTCCAAATAACCTTAAATGAACAAACAATTCAGTCAGACCCAATAATGATCCGAAGAGGAATTTTTCAAGGCGATTCTCTTAGCCCGTTATGGTTCTGCTTAGCAATAAATCCCCTCTCCGATATCCTGAACAGCTGCAATTATGGGTTCAATATAAGAATTAACAAACAAAGAGAAAACAGAATAAGTCACTTGCTGTATATGGATGACATAAAAATATATGCAAGTACACAAAATCAGTTAACAAACCTATTAAATCTGACTGAACAATTTTCCGGTGATATCGGTATGTCCTTTGGTATTGAGAAATGTAAGACCCAAGCAATCAGAAAAGGCGTGTTTCACCAAGTACCACATATAACACAGAATAAGGAAATAATTGAAGCCCAAGAACGAAACGATACATACAAATATCTGGGTTTCTGTCAATCCTCCCACATCAATCATACCAAAACGAAAACACAGTTGAAAGATCAATACGTAGCGAGATTAAAATTAATATTGAAGACACAGTTAAATGGAAAAAATTTAATGAAAGCAGTAAATACATTCTGCGTTCCACTGCTAACATATTCTTTTGGAGTCATTAAATGGTCCAAAACTGATCTTGAAAATTTAAACATCGCAACAAGGAAAATCTTCACACAGTATAGAAGGCATCACCCAAAATCGTCGATTGAAAGATTCTCATTACCAAGACAGAATGGAGGAAGGGGTTTCCAGAACTTAGAAAACTTATATCAGAGACAAATCTCAGATTTGAAGAAGTATTTCTTGAAACGAGCGGAAAGAAATGAAATGTTTCGCACCATCACAAGAGCAGATTTGAACCACACACCCTTAAATCTGTCGAACACCGAAGAAATCCACACCCCCCAAACAATAGATAAAATAATAAGTGGGCTAAAACAAAAACAACTGCATGGAAAATTCTACAAAGACTTAGAAGAAAATCATGTCAATAAGAAGATGTCATTGATTTGGTTAAAAAAATCAAGTTTGTATGCCGAAACAGAAGGATTTGTGTTTGCTATTCAAGACCAAGTAATCAATACCAAGAATTATAGAAAATACATCATCAAAGATCCGAACATAAAAAACGACTGCTGTCGCCTATGCAAAGCAAAACCTGAAACGATCCAGCACATAATCTCTTCTTGCAGCATCCTAGCACAAACTGATTACAAAGCTAGACACGACAACGCAGCCAAAATCATTCACAAAGAATTAGCAACACTTATGAACTTAATCGAAGATACGACACCATATTACACTTACATTCCGTCTCCATTCCTTGAAAATAACAAATACAAATTATACTGGGATCGCACAATACTTACAGACTTAAACATTACAGCTAACAGACCAGACATCATACTTATCAAAAAACACACGAACGAAGCCATTCTCATTGACATTGCTATTCCTAACACAAACAACATTATTCAAACATACGACACCAAGATTTCAAAATATCTACAATTATCGATAGAAATGAAATCCATGTTGAATCTTAAAAAAATTTCAATTCTACCCCTAGTTATCTCTAATGTAGGTGTAGTTCCAAATAGCTTAGTTGAGAATTTAAAGTCTTTGCATTTGAATGATTCAATAATTGTCAAAATTCAAAAAGCTGTTTTGTTAGGAACATGTCATATTGTTCGTAAGTTTCTTGAACAGTCTGATCATGTCAGTCAGATTAGATTAGCACCAGTAGGTCAGAGTAGTGTAGGTCACTTTCCAAGTGATGCGCGGATCAGTGATTGGTAGTTACGCTAGACTTTTGGGGATGGGGTGAGATTAGAGAATAATAGCAGACTAATTTGTATGCTGTAATTCTAGAATCTCGAAAGTTGTGTTGTTAATCTAATCAATGCATATCATTACTTGGTCTTAGTACCCGTAATGATAGAAGTCTTGCCTGAATGCCGGTCATTTCCGGGTCAGTGGTGGGTCTTATTAATAACTTTATTGATTCCAACAGGTATGACACCCATTTACAGGATCAAATAAACACCAACTAAATAAGTAGTAACAGTACTAAACTAACAAAATATAAATTGTACAACTATTAATAGTAAAGAAATAAACACGCTTCATTGAGACATAAATATACATCTGAACAATAAGCTAGGCAGATGCAGCAGGGGAAAAAAGTTATTCTAAGTTTATAACACATGATACAATATGTCGAAGTGAATCAAGGTTCATATCGCGCAAGTGTGAAATTTTATTAAATAAATTGGACATAATTATAATAGGCGATCGCATAGACATATTGGTTCTGCTAAAGTTAGTGTAAAATAGCATCAGTTGTCTGGAGTTTACGCGAGGTACTAGTAAGTTGAATTGGCTGAGAAGCTCAGCACAATCGATTTTGTTATGAAAAAGATTATATACAAATCTAACAGCAATTATATTACGACGAGTTTCTAATGATAGTAAATTATAACGCGACAGTAATAGGGATTGCTCACAACCTGTCGGAGGGTAAATGCCATCTTCTAAATATACCATAAATTTGAGGAAACTTCTGTGAACCGATTCTAAACTAAGACAATGTACATCATAAATAGGATACCAGATTAAGGAACCATATTCCAATCTCGACCTTACAAGCGAACAAAACAATAATCTGATAGTTTCAACATTGGAAAAGCGACGACAGTTTCTATAGATAAAACCATATATTTTAGAAGCACTGTTAACGGTTGTATTAATATGATCAATGAAAGCAAGTTTGCTGTCAAAAACTATACCTAGGTCTTTGAATGTTTGTGAACGCTCCATTAGAATACCATTTGCATTGTACGAGTAGGTGATAATCTCTTGTTTTCTTGAGTAAGAGACTACTCTACATTTGAAAATATTGAGTTGGAGACGATTGTTGTCGCACCAGCGGGTAAATTTTGTTGCAGAAGAAAACAAAAGAGTTTGAAATCGTCGGTGAACAATGACTTTTCACAAGATACCGATTCAACAAGATCGTTGATAAACACTAGAAAAAGCAAAGGACCCAGATTGGAACCCTGTGGCACGCCCGAGGCGGGTACAAATGCAACAGAGGTAAAATTACGATATCTAACTCTGAATTCTCTATCAAATAAATAGGATTGAATTAATTTTAATAGTGGTTCGGAGAAACCCTAACGGCTGAGCTTTTCCAGTAAAACGTAATGATCAATCCTATCAAAAGCTTTTTGGAAATCAGTGTATATTACATCGACCTG